GACAAATGTCTTTATTACCGCAGAAACAGAATAAAAAGAGGAAGGGAAAGAAACGAGAGAGCAGCAGCGACGAGCGACAAGTATGTGTCGCGCTGCTGCTGCGGAGTTCATAAAATATTCCCCCGCATGAAATACAACAAAAGTGAGCTCTCGCGCGCGCTCATATAACCGCGTGCATATATATGAGCGGCATATATGTGCAGCACGTATATATATATATCGCTATATATCGTAGGACACTTTCACGCTGCGAGTGACAGTTTGGCGTGTGCCGCGCGCGCGAGTGCGCGTTTATGTGTATTATATGCCATGGTACCATATACTGCAATCCACTACTACCATCGCAGCACGCATTTAAGCGCGCGAATAAAGGCACCTCCTCGCGAATATTATAATATAGATATCCACAATATACACGGTAAAGCTGCAACCGTATATATGTTCTTCTTCCCCCGCGTGTATGCCTATATCTCTTAACTATTCATTAGTACGGCGCGTAATGCTCAAACACCTGTCTCCTCGGCAGCTTTTTGATACAACGTGTCTGTGTTACTACTACGTGGCGAACGATTTTTTCTGCCCTTTTTTTTGCACACGATTTATAGATACGTCATGTATAATATCGCGAGGCAAAGACTCGACATTTCTTTTTCCTCCTTTCACTTTTTTTTCTTCTTACTTCGCTCAAACCTACGCGAGAACTTCTTCTTCTGTCTCTTGTTCTATGCCGCACACGCGTATAGTAGGATATCGATGTCACTCTCTTTCTTCGCCGAGAGTCTTTGGACTTGATCAAAATTTTACGATGCTCTGCATTATTATTTTATATTATACGCTCTCCGCCAACTAGAAGTAAAAAAGGCAAAAATGCGATTTTGGTGGCTAAGTTTTTGAGAAGAAGTTCGATTCCTGCGGATTCTGTTAAACGTTGTCCGAGACGCGTTAATTATTCGTCAACACCGGGCGCTAGGCTGGCTGCTGCCCGCGCTAAGCTCATAAGCTAATAAAACAAACCGCAGACGCACGATGACGTGACGCAACTTCACCAAATTCAAATCGCACAAACTTCTGATTTTTAATTACCACTTATAAATATACACGGGCGATTCTCTTCTTTCCTTTTGCTTGTTCGCGGGGCCGATTCGTCCGACACACAGCTAGCACAGCACCTGCGCTGGGAACCAAGGCAGCACAGCACGGCTGTGGCTATATAATCCGATACACTATGTATATGCGAATGAGAGACAGCAGATTTTTTTTCCGAGGACACAGTTTAGCGGCGTTGATGAGTTGTTACTTTCTTTATTTCCATTTCGATTCGCAGTATGTATACTGACAATGTAAGCTTCGAGCCAAGCGATCGGTAGCATTAGTATATAAACACCTGCTGCTACCGCAGAAACAGCAGCGGGCTAAGAGAGTACACGATCGTTATATTATCTTTCGACAAAAGCACACACGCACGAGTGCTACGTCTTGTTAATCAGTGTTAATTAGCGGGGATATAGGGTATATGTATAAGCGATTGCGTATAATGTAATACAAAAAAAAGAACAGGTTGCGCTCAAGAATATCGACGATTACGTTTTCGAGAAGCTACTACTACCATTATTATTTTTTTTCTCGTGGTAAAACAGCTGCAGGCGCGAGAGAGCTTTTTTCCTCCAGATCGCGCGTGGATCTCCGAATATTTATATTTGTCTGTCTCGAGCTTTTACAGCCTCGATCAAGTCCGCACGTTCATCGATCCTTTCCTCATTCATACTATAAAGTTCAAGCCGGTAAGAGCACTGCTGCGTGCGTGCATCGCAATTGTTGCGACGAAGACAGCGACGCGACAACGATAACCGTTAAGAAATGTGCACTTGCACACGCAGCCTAGACTGGTGTGTGTGTGCAGGCGCGCGCTGCAATTTGCGCGCAATACACAATTCGCAAAGTCGTCGACTGTGAAAAGCGCCTAGGATAGAGACGATGACGGCGCTTGTGCGTGCATAGGCACGAAGTATATATTTACGATGGCGCCACGCACTTGCACTATTATACTCGGAGCACAGCTCGCGATGCGCTGCGTGCTAGCCTAGCAATAGAACAACCACGAGTAGCTTCTCAAAGTTTGCTTTGTTTAGCCTCGCGCTGCTACGCTGCTTAATATGTGCGCGCGTGCGGCGCGCTGTAATTTTGCGAAGAGAGCTGGTAATGCACTCGGGTGGCTGCTGCTCGATGCGCGCCTCTACTCTCTATATAAATGTGCATAAGTGTAAAACGCGCGCATAGTCGCGCACACGCATGCACGCAAGTTTATATAGGTAACGCCGCCGTAGTCGTAGTCGTCTTCGTCGTCGTCACAGTCGTTGGCCTTTGTTTGTCGCGACTGCACGCAGCAAGAGAGACAGAGAGAGAGAGAGAGAGAGAGAGAGAGAGCAAGAGAATCCGAGCCCGTTATAAATAGCAGCGAAAAAAGAGCCTATGCGTCTAGAATTAGCCGAATGGCGATCGGTAAAGTGACTTTTCATCCAACGACGTGCGTGTGCGTATTATAATCGCACATGTATTTTCACAATTTATTTTCAATTGATTCTTTGATGATTTAGAGCTCCTTCTTTACGCTCTATTATAGGGAGTCCTTTTTTTCGGATGTATAATATAGATATATAGGTTTCGTACATCACGCAATGCACGCGGTCGAAAATCGCGATCATACGGACTCTCCGTCTGTATAAGCAGCAGCTCGACTGGAGCTCGCAAAGCTCCTCTTGCCGGCGCAAATACACCAATAAATCAGCCCTATCATTAAACGGTACCGTTAAACAGTGTGTACGTGGGAACTAGGCATGTAACTCAACTTATTCGCGCGCGCGCTGTGTTTTCTTCGACGTGTATGCGTGTGTGTATGTGTATGTTGTATTAAGGTAGTATTACAAGTCTCGTTTATCGCACATATATATGCACACATACTCGCAAACACACACACACGTGTGTGTAGCGTGCGCGGCACATGCTGCAGCAGCAGCAGCACATGCAGTTCACATAAGCATGTACCTATACAGCACAGGGCAAAAATTATATATAGCCGAGCCGCGCGCGATAAGAGCAGCGCAATTGGACGCAAAAGAAGAGCTAGAGAGAACGAGCGCGAGAAAGAAAGAGAGAGAGAGAGAGAGAACGCGAGCTTGTAGTACCCCCGGCCCCGTGCGGCAACTGTACATTCACAGGTGGTCAAAGGTCAAAAGCCGCCGGAGAATTTGCACACCATTAGTTTTCATTTATCGATTAATTCCGCGGTCGGTTGAGTGTACATAGTAGGTATATACTCGCAGAGCACACACACGCACACACACATATACACAGAAGATCCAAACAGCGAGATGAGAGCCACGCGCGCCCGACTATGAGAAGCTCGACTTTTAGTATACTATACCTACTTCTTCGCAAGCGCGGGGATGCTTCGAGCAGAGAGAGGAAGATATATACGGTGGTACATTATATATACGTGCCAGAGAGAAAGAGAGCGAGCTAATTTCACCAGACGCGCGCCGTTGTATACGGTAAAAAAAAGTTGAAGCGATACTTCCGATTTATAAACGCAGGGCTGCTGTTGCTGCTGCTGCTGCAACGGATAAATCGGGAGTTGGTATAGCGCGCATTGATTAAAATTGTGCGGCTGCTGCGGGACGTTTCGTGATAAATTAACGATTCGAATTAATTACGCAATTAAAATTATCGATGGTTCGTGCTTAATTTTTTTCCTCTCGATGCGGCCATATGCTCATATTTTCCTTCGACGATTCTCGAATAAGTAATTGCGAATGCATCTGCGGGTGCTTATAATTAGCGTTCGTTAATGGTAAGCGACTTTCGCTATTCACAAATCTATTTGTGCTCGGTGCACGTTGAAGCGTACACGACGAGCTTAAAAGTCTACATTGAGTTTTATAGTTATTACTGTGTGTACGATTTTTAAATTCATCCCTCGGTTGATGTACCGCAATTAGCATCTAGAACCCCATTTTTGAGTCAATTTAGCATATCGAAGATGGTATACAAGGTACTTTCTAAATGAATTCTCTTTTTTTTCAATCGCCTTACAAGATAAATTTGTACAAAATAATAAATTGCGCAATTTTTCATCAAGAGCGCGCAAGGTGTTATGGTGCAGAGAGCGCCATGGGCTTTTTATAATAATGTGCGTGCGTGCATGCGTGCACGCACGCGAGAAATGGAGAGATAAAAATACGCAACCGTCTATTCCATTCATTAAGTTATATATATGTACGACGATTCGGATGCAGCTGCAGCACACGAGCGCAGCAGCAGCAGCAGCAACGGCAGTTGTTAATGCCAGCTCCCATCGGGACACTTGCTCGCAGCTAAGAATTTATGCGTCTTCCCCCCGTCAAAAAAAAAGGAGAGAAAAAAACGCAGATCGCGGAACACGAGCCCGTGTAAGGCTATGATTCTCGAAAATTCGCTCGGACGATTTTCACGATTGTCGTTTGTCGTGTACACATTGTATAGTTTTTCATAAAAGCTTGAATTTTACAGCTGTTCATTACGTGTGTATTGATTGAATCCCCATTACGTACCGAGGCAAACGTGATTATAAAAGGAAAAAAGCTCTCAGTTCCAGCTTGACGTACGAACCATTAGAATGATCGAGTGGCTAATTCCTATATTTTACGATTATTAAATAAATTCCTTCAATATAGTTATCCAGCGCCCAAGCTCAGTTTTGTAAACAAAACAATTAGCTTTGCTAAAATTCACAAATCGCATAAACGCGGGATTATAACGTAAGCTACTTAATAAACGATCTCTTTGTTTTCACAACGTAGCGCCGTACATACCCTTTGGGTCGTTAAAATCGCAATAAAGTCTTAAGGTTTCCTTAATTTTAAAACAATTATTCAAAAAAACCCGCGGTATAATAAAACTAAAAAACGATAAAAGATAATTAACGTTTCATAATTTTTCATGTTTTTTTTCTTCTCTGCTTCCAGTGTGCCAAAGCGTAGACGTAAGAAACAGCGTGAAGGAGTTCAGCAAGTTGCAACACTGCCAGGTCGTCGAGGGCTTCGTCCAGATACTGCTGATCGACGAGGCCAACGACACGTCCTTCCAGAACCTGGAGTTTCCCGATCTCGTAGAAATCACCGGATACCTATTGCTGTACAGGTGAGTTTGACACACGAGCGCCGCGCATGCTGCATGTCAGCAGCGGGATATCTTCGATGATTCTTTTGTGTTTGTGTGCGCCGTTCCGAACATATTTTTTTCTCTCTGGCTCTGCTCTGCTCTGCAGCTCTTTGGCTCCGCTGCAATCGCGGCGCAGTCTTACGAGACTGGAAAAATTCACGCTTCGTGGCTTTATAGACGTTCGCGAGCGCGCGCGCGCGGGACCTTGAAGTTTTAGTTGTAAATTCAAATGAACGCTGGCCGATGTTTACATTGTGATACACTTTTTTCATTCTCTCTCTCTCTCTGTGCGCCTTTTCCTGCACACAGCTAACGTCGAGCCCCAGACGGCGAGTTTTAAGGCTGCCTTGACCTTTTAAAAAACACAAGAGCGAGTGAGAGAGAGAGAAAGAGAGAGAGAGAGAGAGAGAGAGAGAAAGAGAAAAAACTGCCGATAGTAAAACCGAGAAAAAAAAATTTTACGCTCGTTCGAGGCGCGCGCGCGCGAGCGAGCGCACGTCTGCCAATCAAACGGCTATTGTTTTCAATCACTTACGACCCGTAACTTTCCAAATACATTATATCGGCCGTGCTCCGTGTCCGCCAAATGCGCATACATAAAAACAACAACAACAAGAACAACAACAGCAACAACAACAACAACAACACCATTTATTTTATTTTTTTTTCTGTTTCAATCTTTATTACAGAGTACAAGGACTGAAGAGCATCGGCCAACTGTTCCCCAATCTCAAGGTGATAAGGGGCCATCAATTGTTCACGAATTACGCTCTCGTCGCGTTCGAGATGATGAGCATGCAGGAGATCGGCCTGCGCTCGCTCACCGACATCATGCGCGGCTCGGTGCGCTTCGAGAAGAACCCGATGCTTTGCTACGCCGACACCGTCGACTGGGACAACATCGCCAAAGCCGGCAAAGGAGAGAACGTCATTGCGGTAAGTTGCTTTTTTTATTTTTCCCCATTCTTGTTGCATATTACGTGCAGCTCGTTGTGTGTGTGTAAATCAAATCACGATTCGCGCACGTACATTTAATAATTAATAATAATTGCGAACGAAATACGCGGATAATATGATGGATCGCGCGGCGCGTTGCTGCGTATATAGATAGTATAATACGAATCGTTCGATCGGCGCTATGCGCGCGCGGCGGAATTCGCAAATGACATTTGATCAGCTAAATGGGCATTGATCATCATTTATTATGTACGAGAATTTGCGCGGCGTTGGTTTCGATGATGATGATGATGATGATGATGATGACGACGATTTCGAGCTTTGTAGCTGCGCGCGGACATTTTTTGCTGCCTAACAACGCGCCGCGCGCCAGTGCTCCGTCGTCCGTGACTTATTATAAAACCATTCGGGATCCCTGCACGTGCCTGCAGGCGTTCTTATGAAAATCGTAGCGATTTTTACGTTTACCGAGAAAACGGCGACGACGACGACGACGCTCGCATCCAAGCGCTCGAGATGTAGCAGCTCCTCTATAGCGGTGCATCGCTCGTTTTATATATTATTTATGTAGTTTCAAAAGTTAACAGATCGGAGTCGATTTCCAGTTCCGAAAGTATCTTGACATTTTTTTTTCTCCTCGTCTTCGTCTTTTACCTTCTCTCCCTGCGTATGTAGCACCGTTCGGTTTCGTCGTCGTCTCTCTCTCTCTCTGTCTTTTGCCATCCACAAATGTATGTGCATGCGCGCGGCGTCCCGCGTATAGTGGCAAGAAGAGAGTCGTGATTCACGGACTTAACCCAGATTCCGAAAATACGGCTACTTCATTCACCACTGTCTGCGTATCTCTTTCTCTCTCTCCCTCCGTCTTTTACCTTTCTCCGCTCTTTGGCCGGGCTCGAGCATACACTTCTCTGCCTGCTGCGCCGGACGAAGCCGCCGCTCGTGCATATATGCCGCCCGTTCATTTCTCAGAGATGTGCAGCTGTGCGTATGTGTATGTGTGTATGTGAGTGTTGCACTTTGGCATATAGCTGCTGCTGCTCCGGCTTTTCCTCCTCGGCACCGGACGACGACGACGAGGTATATAGGCTCGGAGACGCGCGTAGACGCGAAAATTCGTGGCGCGTCGTGTGTTTTCATCGGAGGAAAGTCGAGGCGCGATATTATTAATAGAATGCACGTACATATTCGCATATGTATATACCATACCGCAATGCATACTTCAACAGATTTTCGGACGCGTAATTGTGCATCGCGAACGTCACACACGTACCACCGTAGCCCGTTATATACCGAGTGCTTTGCAGCCGCTCTCGAGTGCAGCAGTGCTTTCAAACAAATTGAAATCGAAATTCTGTAACGCGAGATCGAATTGTAACGTATTATCGCCGCGCTCGGCACAAAATTGTTTCATTTTATGTAATGATAATCCTCGCGAGCGAGCGACCGACCACCGATACACTCGTCGCAATTACACAATCGTGCGCAGAATTTTCAAATTGAAAAACTTTCGGTAAAACGATATCTCTTATTACGTTATATACCGCGACGAGTATGCGTTTATATTATATTGTGTCAATTATCCATTATGCATCCTGTCGATTTTTTTTTAATTTTTTTTATTCTTACCCCGCACGTTATAGGTCACGTGCCCTCGCCGTGCGGCGCGTTATTTAACGCGCGTCGAGAGTGAGAGAAAGAAAGAGATCGCGCCGACGAAGCGACGATTGAAAATGTGGATGTAATAATAAAATATATATAAAAGGCGCGAACGTGCAAATTCATTCATGACGCGCGCGCGTGTTAAAGTTCCGAGAAAAATGCGCGTTTACGAATTGAAAATATCGCCGAGTTTATTATTTATATTATATGTATATAGTTTGAAATACGAAGCCGGGAAAGAAGAGCGAGGCGCAGAAAGAATTCGAACGCGAGAATTGATATTGGCGATGACGGCAACGACGACGACGACGACGAGTGCGTACGCACTCGCGTAGAATTGCGAGCGCGCGAGAATATTTCACGCTGAAATAAAGAAAAAAATCTCGACGATGTACTTTCATTTCGCCCTCGAGATAATTAGATTTACTCGTGGATTGCTAGCTAGCTAGCTCGGGGGTGTGGAGCGGCGGAGGACGTCGCGAAATAATGAGAGCTCTTATATACAGCTACGAAAACAACAATAACAGAAACGACAACAATAACAAAAACAAAAGCAACAAAGCCCCGCGTCGTGCCACATACCTGCGCGAGCTCGCTCGCGCAGAGAAACTGTAATACAGCTTTATCGCCTTTTTATTATGCTTTATTTAGTATTTAACGAGCGCGAGTATTTCCCCTTACCTCTGTGTGTGTGTGTGTGTCTTTGCGTGCGACTCGATAAAAAATTGGAGGAAAAAACAAGAAGAAGAAGAGAGGAACGCAGAATACGAGAGAAGGAGGTGAAAAAAAACACATCAACAGGCTAGAGCCAGTTAAAGTAGCATCGGTATCTAATTAGCCGCCGCGCGCGCGAGCGCACAGCGAAATAAGCTATATACTATATGGCATTATATACGTGTGTGTGTGTGTACAGTATATAGCACAGCACGCGATCCTACCGCTGCACTGCAGCAATGCGCAGTTTTCGAAATCGCTGCTGTTGCACACGTTTTGCATTTCTCTGCATCTGCACCAACACACCAAGGCTCGTCGTCGTGGTGCGAGACGCATAACAGCATAGTAACTTCGTCATGTGCGCGCTCGCGAGGAGAGTCTTATCGTTGAGTTGCTGCGGCTGCATATGCACGCGTACATATATACGTAAGCACGCGCGCGCGGAGAGAGAAGAGAGGTAAGAGAGGAGGGAGGAGGGAGAGAGATGTCGCGACAAGATAACCGGGATTTCTATTACTACATACTCTGCATACGCGGCGCTTGCTCTTTCTATTGCCATACGAGAACACTCTGCTGCATGTGCACGTACTCAGACTGTGACTGTTTCTGCCGCTGCCGCTGCTGCTGCTGCTGCAGTGCAGGCTTTAACACGCTGCTGCCGTTGCCGTTGCGGCGCGAGTTTATCACGATATGCCAAACAAACAGCCATACACCATCGCTCTCTCTCGTCATCCTAATATAATCGTCGCGTCCGTATACTATACAGTCTGAGGTGCATTTCGCGCAGCCGCATATTATAGACAGCAGCAGCTCTCTCTCTGTTGATAAATCGACGACCAGTATATGGATGCACATGCAGCAGCTATGCACTTTTTTATTGTCATGTCTATGGGGCTCTTTCGATACACACATATATACAAATGTGTTCCGCTGCCTCTTGCTATATCCCGCGTGCGACTTTATATATTATAAAACGAATCCGCTGCGCTTGGCAATTCTCTCTCTCTCTCTCGCATTAATGATGCATTAATTGAGATATTTGCAAAGTGGATAAGTGCATAGCTACAGTAGCAGCAGCAGCAGCAGTGGCAGCGGAGAGGCAGTACCCCGCTCGCGCGAGAGAGATAGAGAGTATTTATAATCATTTGTGCGTGTGTGTGCGCGCGGGCCGCGCGCGTGCACGATAGGAATGCGTTTTATGGAAACACCTTATACCATATATGCGGCTCTGTACATACATAACAGTGCGCACACAGTCGCGGTATAAGCACGCGCGCGCGTGCGAGATCCCCACAGTACAGTACAGTACGCAGTATGGAGCGAGAGAGAGAGAGAGATCTATTATCGAGGCATATTTTTCATTCGTTACATATTTTTGCTCTTTAGCAAATTCCGTTTTATATATTGTATATAAAGCGAGTGTATATACATTATGTACGAGGTAGATGTATCTAGGCGCGAGATGCACGCGATCACGAGGAGGAGGAGGCCCCCGCACGCACCGCACCATTACCATATTGCTATGCTATTACTACTTGTATACACACCTGTATAATTGTGAATAAATATCGCGTCGATTCAATTAGGTATTTTATTCGTTCGCAAACTCGACAAACGCGATACACGTTATATTGGGGTATCAACTCAGCTAGGGCGAAAGACATCACAGCTCTGCCCTATACGCATCGAAGAGACGAGCTATCAAGTTCATTCTTATGTCGATATATAAGTTGCTCTGCAGCTCGCGCGTCTCTTCTCTGCACGGATTCTTATCGCTAGTCGTTACACTTGGACAGCACCTTCATCTATGCTCATGTGTAGAATACTGTACGACAGGCATCAATTTTTTTCTTCGTTTCTTTCGCTGCTCTTCGCGATCGTCGAGCTTGCACCGCTGCAGAGATCTTACATACATACCTATCTCTATCCTGTACACCGGTACGTCTCGAGTATTATACGTTTGGCTATATAATATTATAAGAGACTGCGCGCAGGGGCACGCAGTGTATAATAGTGCGGTGGCGGCGGTGACGGCAGCGGCGTCGGCGTCGGCGTGCAGCAGAAGCAGCAGCAGCGATTCCACCATCAATTACGTACTCGTCGAGGCATCCACACTTCCTTCCTCTTTCTCGCTTCTTTACGCTCGATAAAGTTTATTATTTGCTCCGGTCAGGCCTGCGAGCCGCGCGCGTATACACATTCTCTCGGCTTTCGAATGTATACACTACTACTACTACCACCACCGAGTTTGACCGTATTTGTACTCGGAACAATTTGATTTTAACTTAATATATAAAATATCGAATAAAAAGAGCGCCGCCGAGCGAGTTCCCGTGACCGAGTAAATCGTGACTAAGCGCTATGTTATTGTTGTTGTTGTTATTGTTGTTGCTGCCGCTTCTTCTTCGTTTTCATTTTTGTAATATCCACATTGTATATCAGATTCATTATCGTTGGCGCGTGCTTGCGTGCGTGCCGTGCGCCGTGCAGCAGCGGCAGCGCAAGTATATAATAATAAATACGCGCGCTTTTATCGTACTTTGTCTCGCTGTTTACGTTGCAACGAGAGAGAGAGAGAGAGAGAGAGAAAAATTTAATTAAACGAATGAATCGTAAACATTTCTTTGATATAAGAATAAAATATAAAGTGCCGCGCGCTACGGCCGACGACTGAGAGTTTATATTTGTGTCCGTATTATGTACACTTTTATGACGAGATGTTTTTCAAGCGTTGCATCAGCTCTCCTTCCTATACAAATATAAAAGCTGCATACAAAGTTGCTATCTTTATGTGTTATATGCGCGCGCGAATTATTTATATAATTAAATACGATACATATATATATCTAGTGGTTTTGCTTGCCGCGCGAGAAACGGTACGCGGGTACACGGTGTGCGGCCAGTGCGGACCGCGCGAAAGAGAGATGCCCAATCACGTGCCGCTGCTGCTGCTGCTGCGCGGCTTTATGAGCTCGGCGACGGTAGCGGTGAGAGTACATATAATATAATAATAAATATGCGCACTGCGTTAATGACAAAAATTTGCCATTCGCTCATTACTAATTATAGCGAAAATTGCGCGCGTTCGTTAGTTTCTCGATTTTACGCTCCTTCGTGTACGCAGGTACGCAGCAGCAGCATCATTAGGACGCGCATGCGTCTATGTTTTATTTTTGAAGCTGCGCAGCGGTCGGTAAATTCAACTAAAAATTTAAGTGATTCTCGTCGCACGTGTCGAAGTGTGGGCGATTCTTATAATTTGGCCGCGAGATTCGTGTACGTCATTTGCAACGATTTCGACGCACGATTGCGATCGTTATTAGCTGCCACTCGGGCGATCGAAATATTTCGATGATAAAATGATTCGTGCACGCCGGATTGCGTCATGCACGCGTACCTGTATCGTACGTTCGCGCATTTTTCGGAAAATTTGAGCACCAACTCGCGTGCGTAGCGGCATTTTTCGCTCGCGTATAATAATATTATTATATACGCGCGCGCGCGCGCCGTTCGTCGCGCGGCTAGCCGCAGCTATCCTCTTATCGGGCGATAGCGATATATAGGTGTGTAGTACACATTGTGTACACCGAGTCGGTCATGATTTTAAATCGAGTAATGTACACAAGCGTGCGTTAAAGCTTGGCTTGCATTCTGTGCTGCACCGCCGCGACCTATATCGACCCGCAATTATCGATAGCGCCGCACTCGCGCTATGAGTTATAGAGAAAAACGCGCGCGCGGCTATAGCAAAAACAACGTTTGTTTGTTTTTATTTTCGATCGAATAAATTTAGACGATAAATGAAAAAAAAAATTAAACGGTCACTCGCGTTAGCTTGAAAATATGCCACTGTTAAACTATGCATGATGCATACATTCAAATGTCAAATAATATTTCCGGGCGGAAAAATCCGAGCTCATAAATATTCGAGCGTGCTGGAAAGATCTAAAAATCTTAGTGACCAGCTCGCAAGCTCGGGGGAATACGTTATAATCTGAATTCGAGAAATTTATTATTGCCTCGTGTATATGTGTGTATGTATAGTCTGTGCGTCAAGTATAAAAAAAAAAGTATTTCTCGTGCTGCGCGCGGTGCACGTGTCGGGTGCATCCCAGACGCTGCTCTCTCTCTCTCTCCAGGCGCGCGCGCGTATTATTATATACTTACCCGAGAGCGGACGAGTCATCGTCGAGACATTTTTGCTTTTATTCTCTATATACATATGCACACACACACACACACACACACACACACACACACACACACACACACACACACACACACACACACACACAGGCAAGACAACACATATCGCACGCAACGTCGCAGTCATTTGTGTGAAAGTGTTTCTCTCGCTCTTCTTCTTCCATTCTCGGGCAAAAAATTTCTCGGATGCTCGCGCGCGTGTGTGTGTGTATATAAGCCCACTTCCCAGTCGCTCGCTCGCTCTTGGCTCGTTTCGTTTGAGTTACGAGATAATAAAGATGCAAGATAGCGGATATGCAGCAGAAACCCTTGAAACTTCTCACGTTAGACGGATGATATATAGTTATATATATGTGCTGCGCATGAGTCTCTGCCGCGCTTGTGTGTTTACCCGAGAGGTTTGCAGTTTTGCCAAGCAATTTTCGGTCCTCCGCGCGTACGTAATACGTTATTAACGCGCCAAGGATCGATTTTAATTGTTCATTATACTCGTCGTCGTCGCCGCCGCGACGAACCCGTTTTCCACGAGTATAGCGCGTTTATGTCTCGCAGAAAAAGAAAAGTAAATCTCGGATTATATCCTGCAGCAGCAAAGCTTTCGATTCTTAATGTGCTTAACGCGCGGGCAAAAAAGGAACGATAGGGGAGAAAAAAAGCACGGGCTATATACGATGATTTATCGATGAAATACAATATAATTACGCGTAATAAATCGCAGGATGATCCCTTTAACGCGGATCGTATTATATCGAGCGCGCAACACACGACTGTTTACATCGAAAAAAAAAACAACAACATAAGGAACATGTGCATGACGCGCGCGAGCGCGAGTTAATCCCGCGCATTACCAAAGGCGCACGTGAAAAATCATACGAGCGAAAATCTTTTAACGAGTTATTATATCTGCGTTTTTCCGGCTAAAGTCCTCTCTTTCCGAGAGCATCTACAGCAACGGCAGTAGTATAGCTACTCCACACGGCAGCAGCAGCTTGCACATGCTAAGAGTTTGCCATACCGATTTTACGACCGTACGTACGCTGGCGGGGGAGGCAGTTAAAAAAAATATTGGCAACACAACACAGTGCCCCACGCGTGCCTTTATGTAATAACATTTTGTATATCTACGGTGTGCGGCAGGCGCGATTGCAAACACACACACTAGGCTGCATGCAAATATTATGTATCGTGTGCGAAAAGCCGTTCGCCTCCTTTCTTCATCCTCGCCGGTCGTCGTCGTCGAGCGCGCTTGGATGTCATCCAAATCCATTTCGATAAATTTCGCGAAATGAATGATAAAATCCTATCGCCTTGAGAACAGGACATTTTTTCTTCTTCCGTTATATTTTTTATGTATCCGAAGACCGGAGTGTGAAAAAGCAAACGGCAGCCGCGAAGGTACGGATTGTACGGTATACAAAAAAAAATGTCGCGTACTACATTTATAAATATATACGGATATTGTGAGGCGAAAAATTTTCGAAGCACGCGGCAGTCGCGGCGGGCAGTTAGTTATATGGCCATGCGCGCACTCGCGCTTCTGCGTTGCGTGTCAAGAAGATATTAAAGCTCTATTATCTGCTGTACTTACAAATACCATATACACCATCGAGCTGGCCTCTTGTATGGTTATTTTGTGCGAGCAGAGCGGGACACACGAAATACACACGTATTTATAATGACACGGTATTTATGAAACGACGCACTGCCGCCACGGCGATATAATGACAAATTCGTCGAGAGAGCCGCGTACCGACGACGGCAGGTATAACATCGATTGTCGTCGTTGTTGTTGTTTTTCAAATGCAGTAAACGCAGTGCGACACGTCGCGTTACATAAAGTATATACCTCTGCGAAGTCCGAGCGAGAGAGACGCGTACGTATAGTATACAGTAGCGGCAGAAGCTCGGAGCGTGAAAAATCGAGCCGCTAAAATAAAATTAAAGAGAAAGAAAAAGATTCCTCGATTTTAACCTGTAATTTACTCCTTTTAAATCTCTTTCTCGCTCTCCTGCCTCTCTCTGCGCGTAATGGTGCGTTACGTAACGCGCCGTATACGCGCCGCGCGGAGTTAGTAATGATACAGCTTGTTTTATATATATGTGTGTGTGTGTTTGTTTGTGCGAGCGCGTACGCATTAATACCTAGGCGCGCGCGAGGCATTGTATTAGCAGCAGCAGCGGCGCGTCTCTCTCTTTCTCTTATACTGACCATAAGCTACCCTCTTTAACAACTGTAAAGAAGCTCGTTTAACTATTACGAGTCTCTCTCGTTAGCACGCGTGTAATGGCTAAAAAGAAGGCGAGTGGTATTATAAAGCGAACTAAACGCAAACACCGTCTCCGCGTCCGCTCGTTACCGTCTCTGCTTCCATGCTAAGGAATGAAAGAGCGGTGTATAGCACATAAATCAACGGCGTAACTCATCGGTAACGCGCGGTGGCATCGAGCTGCTGTGTGTTGTAACGGCGCGCGGCTAATGAATTAACACCTCGTGCGCGCTTAAAGAAAGAGAGAAACGAGTATTATGAAGCAACAACGAGAAAGAGATCGTTAAATATATGTATCCATGTACTCCGTGCAGATGATAATAATTTTTAACGCTTCGATTCCACACACAGATGAACATGCCGATGAACGAGTGTCCGGTCTGCGACAAGGACTGCCCGCCCCGACCCACCAATCCCGAGGAGAAGCTCTGCTGGAACAAGCAGACCTGCCAGAAGGTCTGCCCGAAGGCCTGCGGCGATCGCGCCTGCTCGCCCAGCGGCGAGTGCTGTCATCCGTTCTGCGTCGGTGGCTGCTCGGGCCCCCTCGCCTCGGACTGCCAGCTCTGTCGCGAGGTCGTCGTCAATCAGACCCAGTGCATCGACAGCTGCCCCCCTGGCACCTACGAGTTCTTCAATCGTCGCTGCGTCACGCAGCAGGAGTGCCGCATGATGCGCCGGCCGCGCGAGATCAACGCCAAGCAGTACCCGTACAAGCCGTTCGGCAATCAGTGCCTGCTCGAGTGCCCGCGCGGCTACGAGGAGATCAGCGAGAACGACATGTACTCGTGCAAGCGCTGCAACGGGCCCTGCTTCAAGGAGTGCCCGGGCACCGTCGTCGACAACATCTCCACGGCCCAGAAGCTGCGCGGCTGCTCGTTCATCAACGGCAGCCTGGAGATAGCGATACGCGACGGCCAGAACATCGTGCGCGAGTTGGAGGAGAGTTTGGGCAATATACAGGTGATCACGGGTTACCTCAAGATCTTTCGCAACTTTCCTCTCATCTCGCTCAACTTCCTGAAGAATCTCACGGAGATCAGGGGCGATAAGCTCGAGATGAAGGAGTACTCGCTGGTGGTGCTCGACAATCAGAATCTCCAGGAGCTGTGGAACTTCACGTCGAGGCCGCCACTGAAGATCGGCTCGCACAAGGGACTGGCCAAGATATCCTTCCATTACAATCCGCGACTCTGTTTACAGGTGCGTACTCCCGTCTGATATTCTTCGGTGAACGATATAACAATATTTCATTTCTTTCGTATGTCATTTTCAGAACATCGAGGAGCTACGCGAGCGCACCGGTCTGGGATCGTTCACCGAGATCGAGGTCTCATCGACCAGCAACGGCGACAAGGTCGCCTGCAACATCACCGAGCTGAAGAGCGTCGTCTACTCGGTCACCTCCAAGGCGGCTCTCATCAAGTGGGAGTCGTTCAAGCATCACGACATGCGCACCCTGCTGAGCTACGTCGTCTACTCCAAGGAGGCCCCGAACCAGAACGTCAGCATGTACGACTCGAGGGACGCCTGCGGCGGCGACGGCTGGAAAGTGACGGACGTCGCACCGCAAGACGAGGAGAAGAAGAATCCCCTCGAGACCGCCGTCGACGACAGCGCCGGCGGCTTTCCGTACGACGTGCCCCACTCCAACCCGATCAATTATCATCAGTCGACCATCCTGGCGTCGCTCAAGCCCTACACGCAGTACGCGTACTACGTCAAGACCTACACGATTTTGACGGAGAGGTCGGGCGCCCAGAGCAAGCTGCAGTACTTCACGACGCTGCCCGGACAGCCGTCCGCCGTGCGGTCGCTGGCGATTTACAGCAACGCCAGCGACACCCTCGTCATCAATTGGCTGCCGCCCCTCAATCCCAACTGCAATCTCACGCATTACCGGATCATCGGCAAGCTCGAGCCCTACGATCTCAACTATCTGAAGCAGAGAAATTACTGCGACGAGCGTGAGTATTCCTTATATATTTGATTATTTGGGCTTTGTCGGTATCCACGAGCTACAATGCTTTTTTTTTTATTTAGCCATGCAAGCGATGGAACGCAAGTCGCTCGCCGAGATCGTGGCCGAGGAAAAGCTCAAAGCAGAAAAGGAGTTGGAGGCGTCGCAGAAGATGAACGAGACGAGCGAGTGTCAGTGCCCCTGCGGCGAGTCCAAACCCACCATCTCGGAGCAAGACGTATCGAGCTCGATCGCCTTCGAGGACGCGCTGCACAATCAGGTGTACATCAAGCGCGGCAACAGTCGTAGACGCCGATCCCTGGAGGACGAATTAACAGGTCTAGCAGGCGATGCTAAGCAGCTATGGAAGAGAGAGCAATTGGCGGCCGGAGCCATTCTCGATTACGTCGTCAGGGATAAGCGCGAGCACAATTCTTATCAGGTAAGCGAAAAAAATTTAGCTCTTTTACTTTTTACACTTAATAATGAACGAGAGCTTTTATTGAACAAATTATTTTTCACTTTTTTACAGGAGGAAAATCACAAGGATATGATACAGAACAAGAAAACGTTGAGCAAGCCGTCGAAGAAACCCGTTCCGCCCGAACCGAAAGACATCAAGGAGGGCGACTCGTACGTACAATTCGTGCGAGAAGTGCCGGCCAGTTCGTTGACCTTTGTCATGCGCGAGCTACGTCACTTTGGAAAATACACCATACACGTGATGGCTTGCCGCGAGAAAGATGAACGAAATCCTGAACAGCACTGCTCGCCCGTGTCGTTGAGATCCATGCAAACGCTGCGCAAGGAGCAAGCTGACGATATACCAAAGGGCAGCTTTAGACTCGAAAAAATGCCGAGCAACGATAGCACGACGACCGTAAAACTCATGTGGGACGAACCACCACAACCTAACGGAGTCATACTCACATATCAGATCGAGTACAAGCGCGTGGACGTGCTTAATGTAAGTGTTTCTTTGAACTCTTGAAAACAAAATAATTCATGAGCATGTTTTTCCTTCCTCAGCATAAAGCCATTGTCGCGTGCATTACCCAAGACAATTTCCATGACGAGGGAAACCAATTCGTTCTACCTAGCTTGGCAGCCGGAAACTATTCGGTCAGAATCAGAGCCTCGAGTTTCGCGGGCATGGGTGCCTACAGCGAAACCCTCTACATCGACATACCCGACTCGAATCTGTCAGCGCCATTCTGGCAGATCTTTTTGATCATACTCTCGATTCTTTGCTGCATCATCGTGATCGGGATAGCAGCCGCGTTCACATTCAGAAAGAAGTTCATGCAGTCTGTCCCGAGCATGAGATTGTTGGCAACTGTGAATCCCGAGTACACCAGCGCTGTCTACAAGATCGACGAGTGGGAGGTCCCTCGTAAGAAAATTAAAATGGGAAAGGAGCTCGGCAATGGCTCGTTTGGTATGGTTTATGAGGGTATCTGTAAGGATTTCAAAGGTCAGACGGAAACCAGGTGCGCCATCAAAACGGTGAACGAAGGCGCTACCGACAGAGAAAGAGTCGATTTTCTAAACGAAGCATCGGTCATGAAGTAAGTTGTGTGGATAATACCGTTGAAGTAAACCTCAAATCATCGAGCGTTGTATTAATTCTCTTTTTGAACGTAGGGGTTTCGATACTCATCACGTCGTGAAGCTGCTCGGAGTTGTATCGCAAGGTCACCCGGTCCTCGTAATTATGGAACTGATGGAGAACGGCGATCTCAAGACGTTCCTGAGAAACCATCGACCGGACAAGTGTCAAGACGCGGCGGTGCAGCCCGTCACCCGTCGCATGGTCTACAAGATGGCTATCGAAATTGCCGACGGTATGGCGTATCTGTCGGCCAAGAAGTTCGTCCATCGAGATTTGGCCGCGCGTAACTGCATGGTTGCCACGGACCTGACGGTTAAAATCGGAGACTTTGGTATGACGCGAGATATTTATGAGACTGACTACTACAGAAAAGGCTCGCGTGGACTATTGCCTGTACGTTGGATGGCACCGGAAAGTTTGCAAGATGGAGTGTTTTCCAGCTTCTCCGACGTGTGGAGTTATGGCGTCGTCGTCTGGGAGATGTGCACCCTCGCGTCTCAACCTTACCAGGGGTTATCAAATGAGCAGGTAACGTATTTTTTTAAATCTATACTTTTGATACTCAATTGAAAAATGTGAAGGGATCATACTTTTATTTCTCCCATTATAGGTTGTACGTTATGTACTAGAAGGAGGCGTTATGGAACAGCCGGATAATGTACCGGACAGAGTGTACGCGCTGATGCGTCACTGCTGGAGACACAAAGCCTCCAATCGGCCAACTTTCACGGAAATTGTGAGCATCCTGCTCGACGCGATTCAGCCGCACGAGGTGGAATACTTCAAAACAGTGAGCTTTTATCACACGACTGAAGGTATTGAGGCTCAAAATCAAAATTCGCAACACACAACGCAAAGAAACGATGAGTAAGTAACTCGCAAAAATTTTATATAATGTCATTCATGCATTCGTCGTTCACTATTCACAATAAATTTTAGTGTATCCTACACCGAGTTCCAATTGGTCACAATGGAGGATCTTCGTGAAGGTGAAGAAGACGATGAGCAGGCTCCACTGCGACCATTTGGCGACTTCACCGTGTTTCGACCCATGTACGTAAAGAACGGATCCAATGCTAGATATGGCATTGACGGATTGGAAGAAGTCCAAAGAGATCCTGCGATGGCCATTGGGGTCGTAGATCTCGACTCGTCGAAGGCGCCACTACGAGCTGGCTTCGACGATTTTGATGGAGTTTCAGCCGGTTCATTGGCATCTAGCAAAGACACGCTGAACTTACCGTTCGTCGAGGACGGCGTCAGATCCAATAGAAGTGTGCAATTAGCACAATTGAAATCTTCCTCAAAGGGTAATGTAAGCCAGGGCTCGTTAGGCAGGTCATCGCTGAGTCCTCAAAGTCCTGGTATTGTCTCTGCACCATCCAACTCCGGTACGTGATTTTTTTTCTCATCGTTTCGTTGATATTCATAATTTCTTTTGAATAAAATACTTTAATTATTTTACTCGGTTTCTTAATAAGTCTTTAATTATCTCGCAGGTAATCGTCCAAGTCCATCTCTGGCCAGTAGCGGACGTTCGGATGCGGACTATGTCAATCACAGTCCTGAAGTACACGACGGCCTGCACCCCAACACGATACAAATGAACAACCTTCGCGTTTCGTTTGCTTCCCTGAGTGCAGCCGACGCTGTGGAACCTCCACCGTCGCCACCACCAACGGCGCGTCAGCAGCAGCAACAATCACCGGTACTAACGCAGGAGGTAAACGCAAACGCGGAAGAAACGGCAAAGCCCCTGAACAGCAGTAATTCGACGAAGACCAATGAATTATCGGAACAGCAGCAACAGGCGTCGCTTAACGGCTACGCCGGTGGTCCGACGACCACGTAGCCTTGTGAAGCGGCCGCCGAACTTGGTCTCGGTGGCATACGCAGGGCAGTCAGCGCTTAAGCGAACGATTGCCGCGATATACTTACGAGTATCCCATGAGAACGTGTCTGTGTCCTAATACAATCGTGTTCCTGGAATACCCAAGGAGTATTGGTAAATTTTATACTGTGTATACCTGAAAGAGAGCGCGCTGGATATTTTTTGAGCTTTTGGTCGAATAATTGCGCCTTGATTTTCTTCATATGAGATACAATCCGGGGCAGCCTCAAGCAGATCTATTAAGATATTGCTCCAAAAATTTATGCTAAAATGACTGGCGTAGCAATAAGATATAAGTAAGCATAAATATGTTCGAGAACAAGAGTATTGCTCGACGAGGCGTCATCCAAGTTTTCTATTCCTTTTTTGTTGAAAAATCGAATAAGACCATCTTCCGACAGTAATTTATAAATACATAAGACTTAGAGGTAGATATAAATCGTAGAATTTTTAAAACTAGTAGACTTGAAAACAATTAGCAACTATAAGACTATTTATACGTAGATAAAAGTATATATATAAATTATGCTGATTGATCGTGATCTATATATATACTTATTGAATTAAATATACATTTATAAATAGAATGAGGTATGAGTGGAAAGAATTTAAAAAGAAAACGAGCAAAATAAGTTACAAAATTGCACATAAAATACGATGCTCTTTATTTCCTTTTATTTTTTTATCTTTAAGTTAAAGATATAAATGAATTGACAATGATTTTCTGTTAAAAACAGGAAAAATGAACCTAAACCGCGGTATAATGATACTATTACTTTTTAAGGTTTTTCTTAATAATGAAATTTTATGAATTACCTTATTATCACTGAAGTTTCCAAAATAGAAAATAAATAGACGTATGGGGGTGTAACTCGCGAGTTTCTCGTCTCAAAGGCTTGTACATAAAATTTTTCATACTTTCTGTAATAATAATTAAAATCGACTCTATCATACAGGGGTAAAACTTTTTATAGTAATATCTCATAGCTTGCAAATCATAGTAAAAATTGTGTAAATAATTCCACCAAGTGTTCACGTGAAATCCTTTTAAATATACTGTAACATATTGTTAAAGAAAATTTAATGAATGCTTAAAATTGAAAATAGTGTGATCTCGCGAGATAGTGTGTGCGCGTGTTTAGTAGACAACATTTAAATATCTTATACGAATCAATTCGCTACGGTATCAATGAATTTTAACTAAACGTAATGAATTTAAGACTTCGATCGAGTAATTGACAGTTAAGAAGTAAAGATAGATAGAGAAGTAAGATAAACTCTTGTTTTGTCCGTTTTAATGAACGTTTTGCGCTTGAACAAATTGACAAATAATATAAGTTACGATATAATTCGGGTTGAAAACGTTTATGATTGCTTTATTTTTTGGAAAATAGTCCAAATATTTTATGTAGCTACGTTAAAATAATCAACTTATAGTATTTTAGGTAAATTACTTGAAAGCCTTTTTTATCTATAACAAAAAATTGGGCAGTTTCGTATGTTAGTTTTAGATTCGATAAATTTTAGAAACTTTTGGTATCAATGACGGAATATCACTCAAAATTTTATTGATACACAGATTCATTTGTATTTATTTTTAAATAATCAATAAACGAACTTTTTTCGGCCGTTTTATCAACAATTTACTTCGGATTTTAAATGTGCAAATCAATTTTTTTTCTACATTTTATTGTGCATAAAGTTACACAGAATTTTTTATATGTGCAGTAACTTTTTCTTTCGTGCTACGAAAAGTTTTTTGCAGTTTAAACTTGAAATATCAGTATTTTTTTTATTAGATGTGTGGCTATAATGTGAATGAAATGGGATCAACGGTTTTCAGCGTTTTTGGGTTTTTAAGTAAGCTGAAATATATTTGCAAGTACCTGCTCTTAAGATGCACTCATCATTAGAAAAAAGACTCGTATTAAAAAGGTATATTAAGGTACAACACGTATTCGAAATTGAATAGAAAAATTCACTAACTCTGCAATATGAAAATATGGTTTTGTCAACTTGCCCGCTGTGTTCTTTACTTAGTCAGTTTAGTTCAGCTATCTTTTCGTTGTAAAGTTAATATTTTGGTAGGCTTTATATCGTAGGATATAATTGTGCATGCAAATAATGTTGAACTCTATCGAATGTTTTATTGTAATTGTTATACGCAGATACTGCATTCCTTTACGTTGCGATGTGAACCGAACGTTTACGATAAATTTGAACTGATCGGTTAACAATGATAACTTAGATACATTCTCATTTTTGGTAACATTTTTACTATAAAATTTTCAGATAACGTATGTACATATTTGCTTAGTTTTCGTTTGTCAACAATCGATCAAATTTGAAGCCAACCTTTGATTATGGCTAAGATTTAAAATTACTGATGAATTGTGCGAGAATGGTATAATTTTGTTAGTCTGATATTAGTCTCATAACGAGTTAGCTCAAATGATTTCTATTGTCAAACTATCTCAAATGTATCGTATAAAAATCTTTTCGAACGAATTAATTTTAAGACTGTTTTTTAAAGGCTTCTTGGTGCTAAAACTGTCATGTGCATAAAAAACGACTAAAAAACCTAAAAACTATGTATGTATCCGTTACACTCGGTTAATGCAGTAAAATTGTTTCTGTACGAGGATAGAATGAATTTTTATGTGAATGAATCTATTTTAGCCCAGTGAGTTGACAAAATAGGCATAAAATTATGCAGTACTCAACGCGCGTCGTCTTCTAGAGATCGGTATAACGAATCTTTTTTCCAATGAAAGATCGAAAAAAATAGTATATCGCACTTTCGCGCAGTTGATAAAACCATTATGCATAAAAAAAGTATTACTTAATGTTCATGAGAACTTAATGTTGTGTGTGAGTTATGAAAGAATCGTTACAGAATGGAAGAACAGAAATACAAAGCATTAGAAAAACTAAACAGTTACGCTGCGCAAGCAATGCAATATAGAGTATAGAGAGAAAATAAATACTAGACACATTGAGCCTCAAATACAAGACTGATTAGCTAAACTCCTTGTATAAACGTGTAATCTCCAAACTATAAGTTTTAAGCTTACTATAGTCCGAAGTTAAAGTTTAAAAGGATGAAAGATAATTTTTAATTTAAAAAAAATAGAGAATACACACTTTTTGCGGACAGAGGCGATATCTGCATCTGCGCGCAAAAAACCAGAACTGATACAAAGCAAAAAAGTTCCAAGTCGTTTTACTCATCCGAAGATAAAGGGAAATAACGTAGATTCCTTTTTTACATTCACTTCGCTCATACTCGCTTGTAAATGTAAATATAAAAAATGAATACGACTGTAGTATGTAATATATAAAATGTAAGCGATATTGTAGCAAATACGATTAATTTGAATAGTTGTATAACATTAATCGAAGTACCAGTGACCTAATAGAAATATTTTAATTGTACGTATGTAAACTTTACATTAGTGGAAAAAAATAATGGGTATACATAGATTTTTCGTATTACATGTCACTTACATTGCTATATATACACAAATGTACGTTTTTAAATTAGCTAAGATTACAAAGAGGTGTGCGAATAAATGTGATTCTGAATGAGCGTTGAATGAATAATGATAACGAATGATTGCTAATATTTATCAAATATGAATAAATTATTAAAACTATCATGTCATTATCATTATGAATTTGATTATATATATAATGTATCAGATTTTTGATAGAGTTTCTCGAAAAAAGAAATGACCAATTCTCAGCTACAGTTTCATAGAAAAAATGCGGTATAACAGACAGGGTTTCCATGAAAAGACAACTAAAAACTGACAATGAATTTTAATGATTGTTTATTGTTTTTATAAATGGAATAGTGTTATTCAATGATTTTTTGCATCTCAAATCAGTATTTATTAATATTTGTCTGATTGATATTTTAATCTGAATTTTGAAGATGCAAAATAATCGTGAAATCGAAAAAACACACAGGGTATTTGATAAGCAAATCGAAAATTATAGAACTTTGAAGAAATGTAATTTCAACCTAGAAGTTGAAATTGCATTGCTTAAATGTACTCTCTATGTCTGATTTTTAGTTGTCTATTCTTAAAAGAAAAAATATTAACAATTTTTGTGTGAGAATTAGTCAATCTTTTTCATGTATTGTTCGTGTTGTTACCAAATGATTACATATTTATTGAAATGCCTGAATACACAAACTTTAGATATTAAGCTTTCAAAGATTATTTTTTTGTACTATGCTTCTATTACCTAATTGTCTATAGAAATATATGACACTTTATAAATACACCTAATACGTAAATATTGTTTTTTACTATCCTTATGAGTTGTTGTCACTTATTTTTCACTCTAAAGAAAGTCATTGCGATGAAAACTGAATTTGGGCACAAATTCTATTTTTTATATATGGTATAATATTCAGAATCAAAAATAAATTTGATGAAGAACAGATTTTTTATTAAAACAAGCTATGGTACTTACAATTTTTTCAAACAGTTTGTTTCTTCGCCGTAATTTTTCTAAAAATAGCCAGAATTTGGAATTATGTTTCCATTAAATTATCTCAACACAAGATGTACTTATTGTGAACGACATTTTTGATTGTATTTCAACTATAGTAGCACAAATACTGACAGAAAATACATAAATGTGTGTCTAAAACACATGAGCAACATAAGCTGATCCGAAAATTATTGTTTTGTTAACTATAATAGGTTGGTATTTTTTTTTAATCGTTGCACATCTATTTCCAAAAACACGTGATTAAACCTGATGTATAATTTTGGAAAAATGTTTGTTTGTAAAAAAAAGTACGTGAGATGATAGTAGAGAATGCTTCACGAGCATTTCCGTTTCAGCGAATTTATATATGCATGAAAAAGACACGTATACATATGAAAGAAGAGTATAAATTAAATGAACTATAATACAAAAATTATCGACCTTAGATTGTAATATTGTAGATTTTTAGCTGTTAACAAAATAATAAGCAAACAAAGCGTATACCCAATGTATTATAAACAAATAAACAAGTGCGTTTTCATGAATTTAGACGCATACTATACACATAAAATAAAATAGTGTCAAGCCTCGCTCGTATTCTCAAGTATCGATAAGGACTTATCATACGTTGTAAGTGCATGTAGCTGGTAAGAATATGAATGTGGAGTTAAAGAATAAGACAAAAAAAATTACAACTACATATACGTAAAAGTACACTGACGAAAGAGCTCTTGTGTCGGTGTCAGCGTGAGTCGAGCTTTAAAAACTATATCAGTGTTAATATATAACTTAGATTAAAGTATGTACATAGGACGACCTACACGGACATTTATAAATACACACGTCATTTTAGCTATACATATGATATATATATTTACTCTCTATGGTTTACAACAAAAAAATATCTTCAATATTCTTGTATGATAATTATAATTATAATACGTACGATTAAGTCACAAAAAATCATTAACAATATCTAACGTAAAGATTAAGGCCATGTTGATGTAAATTTTAAGCCGTATTTATTTATTTATACAATATGATTTGAAAGAATCGATCTAACGTTTACGTGTATTTGATAGCACTTTTTTTATACATAAAATAAACACACGTGAGAAACCGCGAGCTGTGTTCGTAATAAAGCTGACAAAGAATGAAAAACCCGAGTTAAGCAATAAAACTGAACAAGATTGTAAAAAAATCGTTTAATTAACTAAGTCACAGTGGTTCGAGAAAAGGCCTAATTCCTATAATCGTATAATTTTCTTCTCGCTTCTTTTGGTGCAAATAAGACGACATAAAAGAAAGTTAGTTCCTTTTTTTGTTCCTTCCCCCATTTCGGGTTTAAATAAAACTCTTTTTGCGAAACCAAGCGATTTTTGAGACAAGTCGACGAGCGTGTTCGATGGACAATATAATACAATATACTAGCAGCTCCATGATTCGTGTTATTTTTTTGTTACTTTTTGAATGAAAAAAAAATTGTATTTCGATCGAAAAAAACTCTTCGATTATAAACTACGAATAGATGGTTTTCTACAAATGTGTTCGATTTACGTTTAAAAATCCTAATCTATAAGTTCCTTGACATATGACATAATAAAAAAAAAGGATAAGGTAATTGTTTTAAGAGAGCATGCAGCTGTAATGTATCGAAGTGTTGAAAACAAAAAAAAAGTGAAAAAACGAAGAAAATTCTAAAATATCGACGTACTTCGACTGTACTGGAAATAAATATTTCCTCTGTTCATAGCACAATGTATGAGAATTTTTTAACTTGAAACGATGAAATGAAATTCCTGAATTGATGAGAGAAAAAAAAGAATAAATCAACGAAGTAACGTTTGATAATAACAGACCCGTTCGATTCCAAATATATTTCCATAAACACATTTTCGAGCGTACGCAAGCGATGTATTTTACTAAAAACATTTTTTACTTACCGATTAAAAAGAGTTAGCGTGGTAAACACTTGTAAATTTCATGGAGAGAAATTGCAGAAACAGTTCCTTCGATTTCGTTGAAAATCATTCTATTTTCTAAAGTAAATGCATTTGAATCTTGCATTTTTTTTTAAAGAATCGTTCGACTGCAAATCATTAATCTTATTTGCAATAAATCATAAAAAATAAATAAAAAGTTTGTACTAAACGCATATATTTACAGTGGAATTTGTCCGTTAATTGTACATAATATACTGTATAACATGGAAATCTTAATTTACAAAATAAGATACCATTGTATAGAATGATCAAGCAATACAGCTTGGTAAAATGCATATTACACATCGTTGATTTCCGCGAGATTGAGAGAGAAAAAGAGAGAAAGAAAGAATTGTAAAAAATGTTTGGCAGCATGATTATATGAAGAATAAATGAACACGAGGATCCAAGTGTGAGCTCCAAATTTTTTATTTTATTATTTTTCTCGTATTTTGTACATGAAACTTTAAATAATGTAATAGACAGATAAAACAATGGCAAATATGATCACTCGAACGAATTGCTTCACCCGACGATGTATGTACTGATGAAACTGATGCGCGCTTCCTGCGTCTCGCTTTGGTGTGCTTATTTATCATACATTTTGTAAATAATGTATATGATTATGATCGAATACACAAAAGGAACATTTCATATAATATTATTAAAATACAATCGATTATTCTTTCTGACTACCTAATCACATTTTCCCAATTTCTAAGTCCTATAACATTGGAAAATTTGATAGTTCACAGATTCAAATAGATATTTTTGAATTTGATTTGATGAAAAATCACCCACTTAGAGTAAAAAAACTTCTTGTATTTGCAATATGTGTACATTTCGTTAAAAGATGATAAATCGTCGAAACACTCTTTAATTTTCAAAAATGAAAGTGACTGCAATTGATGTAGTATCCAAAAAAATAATCAAACAAGCAAATATTAATATCATTATCTATAAAAAAAAATGTTAATAAAACTCTCGGACCTTTTTATTAAAAATTAAACTGCAGTAAAATACTCATGATCACCATAATTTATTAATTAACTAAATAGTCTCTAAACTAATTTTTCTATTTAATTTTTTCATTTTATCGTTTAAAATTACTTAACAAATACAAGTAGAGCTAAAAATAGTTTTTCAACACTCACGGTGTTATGTATCACGTTGTTGCCTGGACAACAGCATTGTAATTGCAAAATAAGCATAATAAAAAAAAGCATGTTAATTTCATGTGCATTCGTGTTTATAAACAACTATTTCTCTTATTTATAAGAGACTAAAGAAGAATTATCACATAACAGTTTGGGTGCAAACGACTCCAGGGTTTTTTCATCTGCTTAGTGCACTTGTTGCATAATATACTATTGCCATGCAAAAGTATAGATCATAGAGAAAAAAGTTATAGAGAAGTATAAATCGATCTGAATGTTGCTACATACGATACTGAAGTTTTTATTATCTGAAAGCAAAAGTTTAAATTAAAATAGTTACATCATTTAAGACGATTTCATAGTGTACAGAAAAAAAGTCTTACAGTGCTACAAGTTTCCAAATTTAATTCTATGAGTGATCCAGCAGTCAATGCAAAAGGCTGTATTGATTTCATCAATATAAATAATAGCATTTTCTGTATTTTTGGTGAATAAATTTCACCATTCATTCCGCAACTTGAATAAAATAGAATATACCATAAAATGTGTTTTAAAAAATTAATTGACTTACGTTTAAAAGTACCATGTAATGTAAAAATCTTCACTAGCTATTTTTAAACATTGACTAGGAATGCAAATAAAAATAATACCACTCAAAGTTGTACAAAATCCAAACAACATTTTTGCCGCTCCTGTGAAATCTGTTTCACTTAGTATTACCATCTATATAAAGAAAAATATTCGTATGGTTAAGCAATTTTAACTAATTAAATGATTCAGAACATACCGAAGTACCGGTCAAGACTACCACACAACTACAACCAGTTAATAAACCGAACATCAGTGGGTCACTATTTTCTTGTAAAAGATTATAGTAACTAAAATTTATAAAGTCTTTAAACATCGAACAAATCATAATTTTATAATTTACATATTATTAGTATTACTAATACATTTATATATTTTTAGTATCACTTACTCGATATACATTTGATGCCAACGAACTAAATCTTTTAGTTGTTCGCACAACCACGTGTTGGCATTTTTTTCGTTAATCGCCATTTTTCGGTTGTATGCTTCTTTCATTCTTTTAAAATTGTATCTGAAATTTAAATGTTCAATATTTATTAAATGTGTTTCGTACATGAAACTGTTTTTCCGTATAATATTGCATACTGAAAACACCTAATTTCACCCATAATAAATATTACAGCCGAGCATTGGCAATAATTCAGAGAAACTATCAATAAACCATAAACAAATAGAATAACAAGTTGTGTTGCAAATATCTGATAAAAGTATTCATCTTCATCGATGAAAAATTCTGTGTGCAAAGGAAGGGTCTTCTCGAAAGTCCGATTGCCTGGAAGTGCCCAAGTTAAGAAGGACGGAATAGCAACTGAAGCTGTTCCAAAACTAATAAGTAATAGAACTAAAGATCCTAAAAAAATGTTTTAATAAATAAATTTAATTCAACTTATTGGTAAACTTTAATTGCTGACCTGCTTGCAAATTAGATAAAAAACATCCTTTTTTACAATATGCTACCTTCATTTTTTGAACATCATCCGCGCACGCTGAATACATTCGAGCCATCAATACTGTCGCCAAGTAGAACTTATTTTTATGAGTAAATAAAAATATGCATTATTACTCGGATTAAAAAATATATATTGAAAAAAAGACTTACATTTTTTTTAATTCCTATCATGAACATATAAGAGAAGATCATCATTGTGGAAGTTACTAGCTGAAATATTATTTCGACCAAAGTGCTTAATTTAATTTCCTTTTCTATTTCTTTGATCAGTTTCAGTATCTAAATAAATAGTCATTATAACTGATAATTACAGATTATGTAGTTTATTAAGTCTCAAAAATAGGTACCGTGGTGATTAGTGAAAGAAGCAAACATGAAAACAGCGTTATGTTACCAAGTATTTGCACGATCTTGTTTTGGAAAGGGTATAGAAAAGTCATCTTCATAAATCTCAGACTCCAAGGATAATTCTGTTCCCATACCTTTATGGCCGTTTGAAATTTTTCTTCATAATCAGGATCTGTTCTAGTATCCATTTTAGTTTGAAACGATGTGGTAACGCAATGACATTAAAATAACGAATAAAACCTTCCTTACCTAATTTAGGCTTACGTAAAAGTTCTTTAATCGATATAAAGCATTAACAATGGCTTTGCAAGCTTTGTTTACCGCGGTAGACATTTGTATGGGCACTTTTTTGCCAGTGTATATTTAATATTTTTCAACACTCACGGTGTTATGTATCACGTTGTTGCCTGGACAACAGCATTGTAATTGCAAAATAAGCATAATAAAAAAAAGCATGTTAATTTCATGTGCATTCGTGTTTATAAACAACTATTTCTCTTATTTATAAGAGACTAAAGAAGAATTATCACATAACAGTTTGGGTGCAAACGACTCCTGGGTTTTTTCATCTGCTTAGTGCACTTGTTGCATAATATACTATTGCCATGCAAAAGTATAGATCATAGAGAAAAAAGTTATAGAGAAGTATAAATCGATCTGAATGTTGCTACATACGATACTGAAGTTTTTATTATCTGAAAGCAAAAGTTTAAATTAAAATAGTTACATCATTTAAGACGATTTCATAGTGTACAGAAAAAAAGTCTTACAGTGCTACAAGTTTCCAAATTTAATTCTATGATTGGTCCAGCAGTAAATGCGAAAGGCTGTATTGATTCCATCATTATAAATAATATTTTCCGTATTTTTGGTGAATAAATTTCACCATTCATTCTGCAACTTGAATGAAATAGAAAATAACATAAAATGTGTTTTACAAATTAATTGACTTACGTTTAAAAGTACCATGTAATGTAAAAATCTTCACTGGCGATTTTTAAACATTGACTAGGAATGCAAATAAAAATAATAGCACTTAAAGTTACACAAAATCCTAACAACATTTTTGCCGCTGCTGCAAAATCTGTTTCACTTAGTATTACCATCTATATAAAGAAAAATATTTGTATGGTTAAGCAATTTTAACCAATCAAATGATTCAGAACATACCGAAGTACCAGTCAAGACTACCACACAACTACAACCAGTTAATAGACAAAACATCAACGGGTCACTCTTTTTTTGTACAAGACTATAGTAACTAAAATTTATAAAGTCTTTAAACATCGAACCAATCATAATTTTATAATTTACATATTATTAGTTAGACATTTTTATATTTGCATTATTTACATATTATTAATTTACATATTATTATTAGTATTACTAATACATTTATATATTTTTAGTATCACTTACTCGATGCACAGTTGATGCCAACGAACTAAATCTTTTAGTTGTTCGCACAACCACGTGTTGGCATTTTCTTCGTTAATCGCCATTTTTCGGTTGTATGCTTCTTTCATTCTTTTAAAATTGTATCTGAAATTTAAATGTTCAATATTTATTAAATGTGTTTCGTACATAAAACTGTTTTTCCGTATAATATTGCATACTGAAAACACCTAATTTCACCCATAATAAATATTACAGCCGAGAATTGGCAATAATTCAGACAAACTATCGATAAACCATAAACAAATAGAAAAACAAGTTGAGCTGCAAATATCTGATAAAAGTATTCATCTTCATCGATGAAAAATTCTGTGTGAAAAGGAAGCGTCTTCTCGAAAGTTCGATTGCCTGGAAGTGCCCAAGTTAAGAAGGACGGAATAGCAACTGAAGCCGTTCTAAAACTAATAAGTAATAGAACTAAAGATCCTAAAAAAATGTTTTAATAAATAAATTTAATTCAACTTATTGGTAAACTTTAATTGCTGACCTGCTTGCAAATTAGATAAAAAACATCCTTTTTTGCTATATGCTACCTTCATTTTTTGAACATCATCCGCGCACGCTGAATACATTCGAGCCATCAATACTGTCGTCAAGTAGAACTTATTTTTATGAGTAAATAAAAATATGCATTATTACTCGGATTAAAAAATATATATTGAAAAAAAGAATTACATTTTTTTGTAGTTCCTATCATGAACATATAAGAGAAGATCATCATTGTGGCAGTTACTAGCTGAAATATTATTTCGACCAAAGTGCTTAATTTAATTTCCTTTTCCATTTCTTTGATCAGTTTCAGTATCTAAATAAATAGTGATTATAACTGATTATTACAGATTATGTAGTTTATTAGGTCTCATAAATACGTACCGTGGAGATTAGTGAAAGAAGCAAACATGAAAACAGCGTTATGTTACCAAGTATTTGCACGATCTTGTTTTGAAAAGGGTATAGAAAAGTCATCTTCATAAATCTCAGACTCCAAGGATAATTCTGTTCCCATACCTTTATGGCCGTTTGGAAGTTTTTTTTATAATCAGGATCTGTTCTAGTATTCATTTTAGTTGGAAACGATGTGATAATCCAATGACTTTAAAATATAAAATAAAACCCGGCTTTGCAAGCTTCGTCAACCGCTGTAGACATTGGTATGGACACTTTTTTTCCAATGTTTATTTAATTTACTACGCCCTCCTATCGTCTCACTTGAGGCGGTGGGGTAAAAAAATGAAATAAACGATTTACTTTTTGTTTTCAAGACTTTTTTAAAACAATCATCACACATTATAATTTTAAAATAGTATTTTCCCTTATCGTCGGTACTATTAAAAAATGTAAAGGTTTTCATTTTAATTATAAACATGTTTCAAGTTCTTGTATTTGTATATGTTGGGGAAGAGGTGCTGTTCACGTTACTATTTTCCAAGATATATTATTATTAATTAGCTTGTTTTTTGCGATTTTTTCGTTACAATTATGTTAAAAATACTTAGTGCATTTTAAATAAACTGGAAATGTCAATTGAGTTGTTTCAAAAAATTACACTCGTCTTTTACTTTGAATACGGTAATACTATTTCAAGCATTCACCGCTAGATGGCGAGCACCTTTATCTGTAAATCCGCAAATCACAAAGTAAAAATAATTGTATAAGTCAACGTAAGTTCATGTGGAATATTAGCTAAAGCGACATTAGTCTATATATCACGATATATTATAATAAACATAACTTTTATTCAATATATTTTTACGCAAAATTTTTGGTCCTCGATGTTAACAGCTCATCCTTTTCATTTCGATGTCTCTTGGCGACACTATGAAAAATATTCTCGGCGTTAAATATTGAGGGGTTAAAAAAATAATTTACAAGTCATTATTTTCTCGTACTTGTTTACTCGAGCATAAAAAGTTTTCTCGCCCGTCCCTTACACAAGACTTTGACACCAGCTCGAGAAAAACGATGTAGCTCCCCGAAGAAAAACCGTTGGACTTGCAGCTCCTGAAAAATAGGTTACAGCCCCTTTGACGCCATCGCTTTTTATGCACACTACAATGGTCAATTCAAAGACCATATCTTACCAATGATACATAAGAAGCCTGTAGAACAAAGTAACAACAAAGGAATATTGCACAAAAAATTTGACTCAACGAGGATTAAAAAAAATTGTTTTTCTTCGTAACCGTACGATAGAAATAAAAAAAAAAAAGAAAAAGAAAAGGATTCAACGTCAAAAGCTGAAAATAAATCGATGAAATATCGTCTTAATCCAAGCAAAAGTCCACGTTCAGGCGCGCGCGCTCACAAAGTGGAAAAGCTGATGACGGTGGTTTGCTTGCCGCCGCGTTGCTTCGCGCGCGCAGAGGTGAACGAGTTCGAGTGCCGCCGCTGTGTCGTTGGCGCTCTGCGCGCGCGACGTGACGCTGAACCTATTGATTTTTGGAAAGGGGAGAATACACTGCTGCTGCTGCTGCTGCTGCTGCACACAGAGATGAGGGGATGAGCCACCGACGAACACGTCCACAACCACCTATACGAGCGCAAACGGGATAATACTTTCCAGCGGATAACCGGATCGCCGCTGTGTGTATAATATAGTCGAGTCTCGAATCCTGATCGTACAGAGGATAACGAAGTAAAAAATTCGTAGATCTGTTCTCTCGTACTTAATGGTCACACACACACACACACATTTACGTTTGCGAAGATCATTGGCTATTCGTTTGGAAAAAAATGCGTTACGAACCCGTCCCTCTCGATGACGTAAAAAAATGTCAGCTCGTAAAAAAGCACTCCCCGCAGTTGTTTTTTTCTTCATTCCTTTATCACGCAACAAGGAAAAATAGGGAGGGAAACTACGCGCACGTAACTCTATTCTGCTCTTTTAAAATCAAATCAAGGTAAAAGCCCGAAATGCCGAAAACGTATCTCTCTATTCTCTCCTCTCTCTTCTCTCTCTCTCTTGGGAGTCAGGCGGATAAAAAGATACGTTACGGGCGAAAAAGGCAAAACGAGAAAGCAAGAGAGCAGTGGTAGCATCAGCGGCAGCGACGCAAAAAAACGCACGTTGAAAGAGTGCGAGAGAGAGAGAGAGAGACTAATGTAAAAAAGTAGCGTCCATAAATCTCTGGACTTACTTAGCATTTATCGAGTTAGGCATATACATACATAAACATACTTATACACAGACACGTAGAGCAAGAGGAATTGCGAGGACTGTTGTCCACTTGAGCCTTTGCGTGCGCGCCACACGTACGGGGTGAATACCAAAGAAGCTCGGAGCTGCTAAGCTAAGCTAGCTGCTGCTACTGCTGCTGGCACGCGAAAAAACAAAAAGCTCTACGTGGCGCGCGCTAACAGGAATGAAGTGTGCGGCGCGGCAATGGGCGAGCTTGCGGGAGAGAAAATGTATTATTCACCTCGCCGGTCCTACACACACACACACACACATACACAAGGGCTAAATCTCCTTCTGTGCTCGTTGGTTGGTCTGCGTATACGTGAGTCGAGAACGTGATTTCTCAAACGTCAGCGCGCGCGGCACGAGCTTGAAAAATCTCGACTAGCTTGCGCGCGCGCTTCATATTATGTAGTTATATTTTCCGAGCTCTTTATTTTTAATACCGCTACTACTGCTCATCTTGTAATCGCCTGCAAGCCCGCGTAAAATTTTAATTCCCGATAATTATCTATACAATAAAACAGGAGTGTAATTAAAGCAACCAGGCGCATCGATATTCCAACGATCTGGATCCGATGGATTTATACATTCGCATATAGTTTGCGACTTAGTGTCGCCGCACGAGCGTTAATTATCATAAACTCGTTTGACGATGTAACACGCGCTTATCATACACAGAGATTGCCGTAATATTACACGAATCCCAACGTAACGCGTGTGTGCGGCGTATAACGAAGTGTGCTTCGCGTTCGCGACGACGACTGCTGCGCTTGCAACGATATGCGGCATACATAATTCCGCAGCCTATTGGATAATGAAGCAGCGGTACGCAACGACGTGTACGCGCGTACAGTATAGTATATGTGCGTGTACCACGATATCATACCGCGGAATGTTTTGCACTGAATTCGAAATGTATCCCGCAGTTGTAGGATACGTACGCGCGCTTTGCGAGCTCGTATTAACGCCCGGCGCTATGATCAAAGCTGCTGCTGCTGTTGTGGCGGCTTTGATACGGTGCTCGGCGCGGGTGCAAAAGCGAAATGCGTGTGCGTAATATCGAGGCGTACCCCCTTCCCTGTACCAGCTCGTGATATCGTTCGCGAATTGTCACGCGCTGTATACGGAATTTTTGCTTTTTATACATTTATTTTCACGCAGCGTCGATGCTAAAAAGAAAAGACTGTCGCGGTAAGCGCAATTTTTGTTTATGCTTGCGTTCTTTGTCTCATATATACGGCACGGACGATCGACTATAACACATCCGTCGCAATTTAAACTTTAACGCAACGTCGTTTTTCATTTGCGCCGAGAGCGAGCAAAATCGATATTAAATGCGTTAAAAAAAAAAAAATAAAAATAAAAACGAGAACGAGGCAATAAATTTTATGTACGTCGAACGCGATAGATGGAATAAGTATACTCGATTCTCGAGGTGTGACGCGGAAACGATCGCGGCAAGTGCGAGGGAAACGAAGCTGCTTCGTTGTACTATATATATATACCTTATATAGCAAGAAGATCGCTCGCTCTCTTGCCTGGCGCATAAAGCGAGGCAATCTTGAGGCTTTAAATTTTACGAGAGGCGAAGCGAAACAACGAGAATCGGTAATCAAAGGCAAGAACACGTAAAAGATTTCGTATACAGGAGCAGCAGCCGAAGTGCGTCTCGCTTTTGCCGCTCACTCTCCCAAGTCGCTGCCATAGGGCTTTAAAGCCCCACTTATCACGCGACGCGACGCTGCGCGACCGGGGAAAAGCTCCACCGCGTCTTTTCTTCTTCCCTCTCTCGTAGCTGCTGCTTCTTCTCTCTTTGAGTCTCGTCTGTGTACATGTAAATCGCGCGCGCGCACACCCACGCGCACGCAAAGTTCCTCGTTGGTATGATAATGTAATAAAATAAGTGGAGCTTCTCTCTCTCTTTCTCTTGCGCTCCGCGTGCGTCTGGACATGTTTTTTCCTACGCGCTCTGCTCTCCGTCGCGAATGTAACTTGTTTGCCGCGCTCGTGCCCAAAGAGAGTTAGCTCGAGAGAGCTGTACCAGCCACCACCACCCCCTTTAAGCGAGCAGCGTTATTATATACGACTTGGCTCTCCCTCGGCATACATACTTCATTGCTTCGTCTTTTTTCTTACCGTTACGTATACGTACGTTCTTTACCGGGTGCAGAGCTCAAATCGATGGCTTAGGATTTGTCTTTTTCTTCCTTGTTTTTCATTCTCGTTTCGAGAAGAAACTCCGATTGTTCTCTCGCGTTTTTTTCCAATTCTCGTCGCCAACTATTTCGTATAACTTTTACTTTACTCGTGTACTCGTATACTTCTACACACACTCTCATACCTGTACACAAGCAGAAGTAGAGAGAGAGAGAGAGAGAGACGGAGAGCGTCAGAAGCGCTCGCGCGCGCAAGAGGGGAAGTTTTGCCGTATACTCCGTCTCTCGTATTGCGGGCTGCTGCGCACACGGAAAGAGCGAAATACAACAAGTCCCGACGCCATTGCTGGCACGGCCTTCTGCCTCATGCCGGGGCGAGTTTTGTTGCCCCCTTGTCGCTTTTGCGCGCGCTTGCATAAACTCCGCCCCAACTCCGCCGCGCCACTGCCGCTGCTGCTGCTCGCCACTTTCAGCTCGATACTCTGGCTGCTGCTGCCAGGCTAGAGAGAGAGAGAGAGAGAGAGAGAGTTGAGCCCGACTTTGTTCGGCGTTGCGCGAAAGCCGCGTACGTATATACGTACGTACCACACCCCCTCACACCCCCGCCTTTGCGGCTCGTTGCCGCAAGCTCTCTCCGTTATTACCACTCCCTTTGATTTTCTCTGTCTCTCTACTATCGGGAGAGCTCGGATCCCGCTGCCTATATAACCGCCGCCGAGAGGCTAACAAGTTATACCCTCGCAGCGCGGCACAGCACGGAATCGAGCGAAGCTATCGAAATTCGTCGGTTGTGGCGGGGGGAGCGAGCGAGCGACTTTTCCTCGCAAACTCGGAGCCAGCCAGCTGAGCCCCGGCTCGTTGGCTACACACACACACATATAGCTATATAGACTCACGTATTTTGCCTTTGACTCGACGCCGATAGCCTTCATCTTTTGCCATTATACGCGTTCGTGTGCCGCTGCTGGTGCTGCGGTGTACACGTACAGCATCGAAAGATGGAAATGGAAAACTAAATTAAATTTAGTCCTCGGGAAAAGTGGAATCGAGGGCTTCTGAGCCGCAACGTCAAAGGGATTTCGGTCTCGATTCGACTCTGTAATTTTGTATCGTCTATGAACCAATGCTGCGCGTGCTGCATCGTAATAAATATCGAATATACTTTTTCGCAAAATTGCGAGCGCCGGGGTAGCTGTCATTTACCTATCCACAATTATGTACAGGATGTATATAATAGCAACGATCGATATTTAAGCATCGCGCGCGCGCGGTAATGATCGTCGCTCGCTTCGTCGAATTGCGAATAGCTTGAAAACGAAAAGTTGAATGGGATTAATCTCGAAATCAATCCCGTTTACCCTTTAGCTTTAATCCTTCGAGAAATCCGTGAGCGCGCCGGTGCGTTGCTCCCTATCATCCCATCGGATTGGATCGGGGGGAGAGAGAGAGAGAGGCAAATAAATACCTGACAAATTGTGGACTTTTCAAAAGTCAAACGCAGGCTCGAGCGCGTATCCGATATAATACCCGTTCCGCCCTCGAATATCAATTGTTTTTTTTCTATGTAGGTACCTGTCAGTTCGCTGCATATTTTTTAAAATTATCGATGCGACTGCCGTTGTCATTTTACCACCATCAACAGCTCTAAAACACGTCTCTCGTAGCAGAATAATCAATTCGACAGTAATTTAATCAAAATCTTTCACTAACGCATGGTTCATCGATTCAGAGTCGCGATATTATTACGTGAGGTTTATTCAAAATGCAGTAGAGTAGCCAACTCAATGTTTTATTCATTCTCAGCTCCAAACAAGGCGTATAAAAAATTTTCGGCTCGATTCTCGGAGCAAGATCAATATGATTATTTATATTACATTTTTATTTCTATCAGTGCATGTACAGATATCTATGCTTATTTACAATTGTCGATCATTATTTCTTCTCGCAATTCTGGCATACTCAATTTTTGCGACCTTCGTAAACTGTTTTTTGGTGCAAAAGAAAATTATGTTTATGTGCGAATTTCTTCTCGCACTTGTCACATGCATAATCTTTGCGACCTTCATGGACTGTTTTTTGATGCAGTATCAAATTGCCTTGTCCCCCAAATTTCTTCTCACATTTTTCACATGTGTAATCTTTGTGACCTTCATGAACCGTCTTTAAGTGGGTGATCAAACCCGGTTTTCGCGTAAATTTCTTCTCACATTTGTCGCATGCGTAATCTTTGCGACCTTCATGGACTGTTTTTATGTGTCTGTTTAAAGTACTTTGATCCCCAAATTTTTTAGCGCATTTGTCACATGGGTGATCTTTGCAACCTTCATGGACTGTCTTTTGATGCTTCAACAAATCTGATATTTGTCCAAATTTCTTCTCGCACTTATCACATGCGAAATCGTTCCGACCTTTATGGATTGTCTTTTGGTGGCTTAACAAATTTGATTTACTTCCGAATTGTTTCTCGCACTTGTCACATGCGTAATCTTTCCGACCTTCATGGACTATGTTTTGATGTTTGATCAAATTGCTTGATTGCCCAAATTTCTTCTCGCACTTGTCGCATGCGTAATTTTTGCGACATTCATGGACTGTCCTTTGATGCTTCAACAAATCTGATTTTCGTCCAAATTTCTTTTCGCACTTATCACATGCAAAATCTCTCCGACCTTCATGGACTATGTTTTGATGTGTGATCAAATTGCTTGATTGCCCAAATTTCTTCTCGCACTTGTCGCATGCGTAATCTTTGCGACCTTCATGGACTGTCTTTTGATGCTTCAACAAATCTGATTTTTGTCCAAATTTCTTCTCGCACTTATGACATGCAAAATCTTTCCGACCTTTATGGACAGTTCGCTGGTGAAAACGCAAAATGCTCTTGTCTACGAATTTTTCCTCGCACTCGTCGCAAACGTAATCTTTCCTACCTTCGTGAATTGTCTTTTGGTGGCTTAACAAATTTGATTTATTTCCGAATTGTTTCTCGCACTTGTCACATGCGTAATTTTTTCGAATTTTTTGTCTACATTTTTTCTCGCATTTGTCGTGTACAAAATCTTTACAACGTTCATGTATCGTTTTTTGGTGCCTGATCAAAGTACGTCGTTCCCCGAATTTCTTTTCGCAATTGTTGCACGGGTAATCTTTGCGGCCTTCGTGGACTATCTTTTGGTGTAAAAGTAAATGTGATTTTTTTACAAATTTCTTTCCACACTCGCCACATAAGTAATCTTTCAGGACTCTAACTGCAAAATCTTTGTGACTATCGTGAACCGTTTTTATGTGCATGAGCAAACTCCGTTTATTTTTGAATCTCTTGGCGCACTTTTCACACAAGTAGTCTTTGAAAACTTCGTGAAATATTTTTCTGTGCTTGAGTAAAGTTGATTTATTTTCAAATTTTTTCTCGCACTTGTTGCATGTAAAATTTTCGTGATCTTCGTGTTTGTGTACTAATTTTTGATGCGTAAACAAGCTCGAGTTTTTCAAAAATTTTTTCCCACACCTTTCGCATGCAAAATCATTGCGGTTTTTGTGTTCTGATATTTGGTGTCTACTCAAATGACTGCGGAACTCAAATTTCTTTTCGCACTTGTCGCAAGCATAATCTTTCGGATCATTTTGAATTTTATCTCGGTGTGATTCTACCGTAAAGGCCTCCTGATAGATATCACAGACATGTTGTTTTTCGTCCGAAATCACAACGTCATGTTCCCTTGAATTATTTTTCGAAATATCTTCCTCGGGTTTCTTTTCGCTTTCATCCATTTTGGTGCCTAAATTAAACAATAATCTTTCTATTCTATCTAATCTTTCTATTTCTATCAGAAATTGAATAAAATAACGTATCTGTTTGGTGTTATGGCTTATTTCCTCGGCAAAGAGAACATTCAAACTAATTCGTTTTTACTATGAAATACGTTGAGTGCTCTAGGAACAATGTCGAAATCGTTTATAATCATATTGTTTACAATTAAGCTATCGACTGATCTGTTTATACATTTACCAATCCTAACAATATTAATAACAATATTAACAACAATCTAACAATATTTGAAACAATTTAGAATTCTAACGTCGCGACGATTCCTTCGAGGAATTTTTGGATCTTCTAAAACTTAGTTCTTCCAAATCAACTGTCGACAGACACATTATCGAATTCACTTAAAAAACATCGATTAAGGAGATCCTTATACGCATTTATAATGAAACAATTTTGATATTCGTTCCAAAATTTGCCGCCCCGCGACATGGCGTGATGATTAGCGTGCTCCATCATTCGGCACTGCATACGAGTGCCTCTATGTTAACAGTAGAGGGGGAAAGTATCGTCATGGAATCATAACAATCGCGAGGTCAACTCGCTTATTACGAGTAGTGAGTTTGGTCGTTGTCGAGGAATTCCTCAGTATGCAAGTGTTTACAAATTGACGATATCAAGGTACAGTTATGGCCACTCGGGATACATAACCTCGATTATTTTTTGGCACGTTTTATGAAAATTCACAGTGCATACCTTTAAGCGAGTGATGGAAAGCAGAGAAGACACAGTTAGGTATTACTTTTTTTGTTAATTACATAATATTTATTCAAACGATCGCTTCATCAAACTTGGTTATTGTTCAGGGTGAAGCAAGAGTCGTACAATACTTGGCCAGATGCAGGCGACGATTATAATTTCGATGCAGTCGACTCTAGCGAAATCAAAAACTTTGGAATATTCGCGTCTTGTAGTAAATTATCAGTGAGTTGAATGACATAAATCATACTCTATTTATCACGATACAAAACTATTATATGATTTTAATTTCAGGCAAATCGCGCGAATGAGGTTACGACGTTACGAGAAAAGTTGGATGAGAAAATATCCATAGAAGTCGAGTGCAAATATGTTAAACCTGAACCGACGTCTCTATCGACGACCATCTGCAAATCCGAGTATCAAACTTTTCTACCAATTATGAAAATAGAAAATCAAATTCAGACAAATCACTGCAATGAAAAAAGTTTGATAGTTTTGATAAAAAAAGAATTCGATTATGATAATTGTCGCCAATTTCAAGTAAATCCTCGATTTGAATTTAAAGAATACGAGCCAAGCAGAAAGTTGAGTAAAACATCTAACATCGAATTATTGTATCAGTGTAGAATGAGTCGAAAAACGTATAGAGAACAAATGAGTCTAAAAAGACATGTCAATTTAACACATAAGAGCAATAGACCACACGAATGTGAGATTTGTCACAGATCATTTGGATATAAAGGTCACCTCAATAAACACATAAATATTGTACATGATTGTAGTAAACCCTTTGAATGTGAGATTTGCCACAAATCATTTGTAAAGAAAAGTAACCTAACTAAACATATAGAGACAGTACATGATCGTAGCAAACCCTTCGAATGTGAGAATTGTCACAAATCATTTGGAGAAAAAAGTAATTTCAAACGTCACGTCAACGCGGTACATATTCGGAGCAAACCCTTTGAATGTGACAATTGTCAAAAATCATTTGGAAGAAAATGTGATCTCAAAACCCACATAAATGTAGTACATTATCATAGCAAACCCTTCGAGTGCAACTTTTGTCACAGATCATTCGGACAATCAGGGGCCCTTAAACGTCACGTCAATGCAGTACATGATCGTAGTAAACCCTTCGAATGTGTCAGTTGTCAAAAATTATTTGGATTAAAAAATGACCTCATGCGTCACATAAACGCAGTACATAATCGAAGCAAACCTTTTGAGTGTGAGATTTGTAACAAATCATTTGGACAAAAGGGTCATCTTAAAACTCACACAAGTAGAGTACATAATCGGAATAAACCCTTTATGTGTGTTATTTGTCACAAATTATTTGGACTAAAACAGCACCTGAATACTCACATAATTGGAGTACATGATCGATGCAAAATGTTCGAATGTGACAATTGTCAGAAATTATTTGGACAAAAAAGTGACCTCAAGCGTCACATAAGTGCAGTACATAATCGTAGCAAACCCTTCGAATGTGAGATTTGTCACAAATCATTTGGAGAAAAAAGTAATTTCAAACGTCACGTCAACGCAGTACATATTCGGAGCAAACCCTTTGAATGTGACAATTGTCACAAATCATTTGGATATAAAAGTGATCTGAATAAGCACATACGTTTAGTACATTATCGTATCAAACCCTTCGAATGTGAGATTTGTCAAAGATCATTTGGTGAAAAAAGTAACCTCATTAAACACATAAAGATTGTACATGTTTGAAGCAAACCCTTCGTGTGCGAGATTTGTCACAAATCATTTGGATACAAAAGTTCCATTAAACTCAACATAAATACAAACCATAATCGTAGCTAATCATCCTAAGTATCCTTTAATTTATAATAAAAGAAAGATAAATACAAAATAAAAGAAAAAAAATATTTCAAACTTCTACTAATTTGTTTAAATTGTTCTTTCAAGTATTTCTATTGAATCGATCTTTCAGTACTCCATTTATCAGTTTAACCTTTTTCCATGTATCTGCTCGCTATTGTTATATACGAGTAAGAAATCAAAATTTGGAATCAGGATTTTCATCGTCCGGCAATCCCCACATCTGATGATCCTGTACACGTGGAAGATTCAACAGCATTACAGGTCGATATAAAAGCTCTTCAAGTAGGAAAAATTCAGCTCATCCTATCTCCAGTTTATCGCGTATCTTTAATATGGTAGAAAGATATTATTTTGCACAATCAAGAATATCCCTGAGCCATATAAAAAATTCGTGCGTATAAACATCGCCAAGCGTTCATTTCGATGTCGCGATCGGGCCGTCACTTTTTTCAAGAGAGGATCAGCTGCATTACATAAATGCAGGCCTCGCGTTGCAGTTTTGAATTATAAAAACGTAAATCCCAGCGGCGATCGGTCTTACGTAACGCGTCACACCCGTAAACGCGTACAACGCACGAGCTCAAAACGGAAAACTCACCCACCGCTCGACGTAAAAATACATCTCATAAATATGCAGCGGCGTTGCTTATACACGCGTACACGTACATAACATAATCCAAAATAAATCAGCGCGCGCGACGCCTAGCCGTATTATGCACGAAGATGAGTCAAATTCTCGACAAACGATGTCAGAGAGAGAGAGAGGAGCAAGTGAGACGGATGCGGTCTGGCGTGTATATTCAATATAATACGTATATAAAGCAGCAGCGGCAAGTATAGCCAGGGATCGTAATTGAAAAGGCATTAGCCCAGACGCGGCTCCGGTGCACAAGTGTGCGCCTCTCCTGTGTACGTGTGTAGTGTACAGGGTGGAAAGGGCGCGCAGCCGAGCTTCGAGTGTATTTCGGCAACGAAATCCCAAAGTGGCAGATGCCGGGCTCAACGAGCGCGCGGCCTCATGCTCCTTGTATATGTATGTTATACGTATGTGTGCGTGTATCGTTTTGAATGATCGCTTCGACTGGTGCTTTAGAGCGATCCCTTGGCATTATATATACCGAATTATACAGCGAAGCGCGCCTGCGATTATTCGGTCATTGCGGGATTATGCGCCTCCAACGACGACGACGATCTGCCACGGCTCTTCTGTGCCGCGTTCTCGAAATTACAACGTCGAGCTGTGTGATCGTGTGTGTGCGTTGGACGAGATATCGTCTCGATTGTTCTTGACGCACGGATTATATTGTATAAATAGGCGAAGCTCCAGGAAGGGGGATGTATCTCTCTGCGCGAGAGATTGTTTATTCGCTTAATCCACTTGATGATCGTGCACCCGGCCCTTCTGGGCGGAATCAAGCTTTTATTGTTTTTATTTTTAATAGGAGCATATAATATAAAACAATATAAACATTTACACTGGAATGGCAGAGTTGAATGTTTTACCCTCGACTCGGATAAATATTCGATCAAAATCTGTCGTATAATATATCCCTCACTCGCTCGATTCGGTAAATCACAAGCCATTCGATCGTCGGACTTTGGTTAACGCAGTGGTTGGTTGGCGCACCACCAGTCCAGCGGCAAAATGGATATCGCATCGAGATCGTCCGGAGTAATTTACGCTATATAGCATGTAACGCGTATAGCTGCTGCTTCCCTTTTTCGATTCGACGCGGCAGTAAACAGTTTACGAAGATGATGGAAAGAGAGAGAGAGCGAGAGCTACACAGCTAGTATAGAGGAGTGGGCCGGCTTTGACAACTTAAGCAGACCCTTAAATCTCGCTTTTCCATGGAAGGGAGCAGCAGCAGCAGCGAGCAGCATGTGTAATTTATATAAGCAGCCACGCGAGACCGTCAAACTGCCATGTGGCAAGAGAAAAATCCCGCGAGAGTCAGGGATTAAACGGGTGATAAATAAGTGTATACGGTGGCGCGGCGGCGCCTGCATAATACCTATATAGAAAACGTATACGACGACGACTTTTTGCCTTTTACGCCCGCCGCTGTGCTGTATCACTATATAGGTGGTGTGCGCGTATTTAAGCTCTGTTTGTACACGACGTGTATACTAATTGAAATTTGCGCATAATGCTATGCTCGTCGTGCAGGTTTCGGGACACATTAAAATAGAGATTATAAGGCATTTTTCAAAGGACAAAAGACGAGACCATGGTTTAAGTTTAATTGGTTTGGTTTTTTTTTATTTTAATTGTTTTATATTCCATAAATGCATGAGATCGCAAATAGTGTTTGACAATATTTTTTTTTTTTTTTATACATGAATCTTGTTTTTTTCCTTACAACAACACGGAATATACGATCTATTTCATATACTTTATTTCATTATACATAATATAATTTATACGCGTGAATATTCGTAGTAGGCGCACGAGAGAAAATTTGCATACACACGCGCCACATGTGGAGAGAATACTTTTAGGAGCTTTACAATGAACTCGATAGAATTGACTACTTATACAATGACTTTTTTTTTTCTCTAACGACTAGAATATCGTGACCCTTTGAAGTTCTTTGATACGTACACGCATGTACACACGAAATTGCATAAATGTGCATTTCAAATTTTTTCCTTTTTAAATTTCGAACCCTCTTCTTTTTCGTTTGGCAATCATGACCGCAGTTAAGAATGTCAATTCGATCGAACGAGCTTTTTTTCAATCGGCCTGTATAAGGTCGTGAAAAATTATCGATACCATCCCCGTTCGTCCACGCGACTAGACAGAACAAAAAAATGGACGAAACGAAGAATTGAGACACAATTTTTTTTTATATAGTCGAGTTATATCGTTAAATTCGGGCACGTACATACCCCATATAGTTATTGAACTCGAGTCACGGGTAAATAACGGAATCAAGCTTCATTGTAATTGATTTTTTCTTTCGTGTAGGCCTGGATGATGATTGATCATTTATTTTTTGTCATATTTTTCGTTGCCCTTCGTCTTTACAATGTTTTACTTCTATTATAATTCCGCTTTGGTCACAGCCTGCATATCGTCTATTATACGCAATGTATTTATAAATAATTAAATTCGTAAAAATAATACTCGAGAACTAAATTTACACGTACCTACGTACTTTATTATTATTCTAATTTTTTTAAATAGCATACTCGAGGTATCGGTCAAACAAATTCATCCCATTCATCCCATTAATTTAGATATAATAATTATCATCATTATTATTTTCAAGTAAAAATTCTCACTCACACCGGACACCATGGATATTTTACGATAGATTCGAATTACAAAGACGATATCAATGACGATTATTTACTACGTAATTTTATCTTCGAATTGTGAGAACTTACGAGCTATACGAGAAACAATCTGCGCTGCGTCGAGGGGGCAAATTACAGCTAATTTTTGTACATGTCGCAGAGCACCTTCTCCATGGGTGTGTTGCCGATGGTGCGCTGAAAGTAGATGTGCTCCACACGGGCCGCAGGTACGTTCCTCAGCAGCGGCAGCAGCAGCAGCAGTCGGCCGAAGCGGGCCGGATTGCTCGGCTGCTGGCTGCGCGTGTGCTGGCCGAGCATCACCTGCGCCTGGTCCTGCAGATTCTCGATCTGGCTGGAGTCCTTCAGGCCTCGGGTCTCCGGCCGGAACAGTATGATGGCCTTCATGCAGGCGAACTCGGCCGGATCGACCATCACGGACTTGTAGCGATGGAGGATGTCGTGCAGGTAGCGCACGTCGCAGGCCACCTGATGATTCGATTTGTTCGATGGAGGTGGTGGCGGGTGTGGCGCGCCGTGGAGCTGCAGCCCCGAGTGCGGATGATGGAGCGACATATTCTGTTGCTGCTGTTGCTGCTGCATCGTGAGGGCCGAGAGCTCGGCGGCGCTGAACAGGGGCGACGACTCGAGGGGCAGGCACCACTGCACGGCGTTGAGAAGGAACAGCTCCGACCAGGCCTCCTCGAGCAGTATGACCTGCGCGCACGGTCGAATGGACACACGTATCGGCCCCGTGAGAAAGATTCGAGATTATAGACGTGAAAATGTACAACGACTTACCTGATCGCGAAATGGTAGGCTCGCGAAAGAGGGCAAATTTTTGGCCCACTTGACGGCCATGAAGAGCAGCCGCGCAGACGTCTCGTAGACAGTCTCGACGCTGGGCGGCGAGTAGATGGCAGGTACCACCTGCAGCTGGTGGTGATTGCTGCGTGGTGGCTGTGGCTGCGGCGTGAGCGGCTCCTCGTTCGTCACGTCTATGCTGTCCTCGGATGCGTTATCTGTTATATCGTCATCGAGAAGGCAAAGAAAATGTTTGATTTAGTAATTTTCGTGGTTCGTCGCTAATATAATAAAAAAAAATCAATCAATTGTGTAAAATCACCATCGTCGTTGTCTCGTCGAGGCGAGGCGGCCGTCGCCGCCGAATTGGTGGAGTTGACCGAGGGCGCGACGGTCGGCACGGGCATCGGTGCTCCGTATCTAGCCATGGCCAATGACACGGGTGGACTGAAGGTATACGAGAAACAAAACGTGAAAGGGAGAACTTATATTAAATTCATTTCTTTCATACACTAATGACTAATTAAAAATTATGTAATATATGGGAATTTAGTGAGTGTGAGCACAGACAAACATTTCGTAATGAAGCTCTGCGCTCATTATTACAGAAATATATAATTTCAAAGGCAAGGCTCGATTTTGTCGCGTTGCACGATATAGAAAACGAGTAGAAATAATTCATAAATGCGTCGTGTCGTTTTGCGTTAACGAAGATGGTACTACTGCTACATACACGAGCATATCATTATACTCGTTAATAATAACGAAATAATTGTTGTAAAGGATAATATAATACGCGCGAGTTTCGTAACGATTTAATACAAAGCTATATCAAATTTAATCGTCCTCGTCAATTATATTCATCGCGTGCGTATGCAATGTTTTATCGCAAACGATCCGAACTGATCACCGACGATAAAGAAAAGTCGATATAATATATATATCTCTCGCGAGCGCGAATGTATATCCTCCTCGCGTTGCAGAAAGTGGAAAACTTGCGCAACAAACTTCACGACATTTCTCGTGCTCTGTACCTACTTTATTTTTCTAATTTTTTCCCAACGACGTCTATTATTTTTTATTTAATGTCTTACGTAATCAAGACCTTTCCCGCCCCCGTTAATAATTTTAAGAAGCACACGACGACACACGCGCGACCACGCAAATGACTCGATTAAGTTCGTTCGATCGGTCCTCCTGCCTGCATTGAGATCTGGGACCTCGTCCGCAAGAGAGTATAGTATACAAGCGCAAAATTGCCCGCAGATGAAGAGCAACGGCGAGGCTTGTTTCGTCGTCTGCCAAGCTTCCCCTCGTAGCGCACAGGAGTGCAAGATCCTCTCGTCGACGCCACCCCGTTATCGTTAAGCGACGCGCGAAATTTTCATTCTCCATCCCCCGTTTGTGTGATAAAATTCGTAAGTGTTTGATTGTTGATTTTCCATCGTACAAATGTTTAACCTATAAAAGCCGTGTGCTCGTGCTATTGTGTATATCATCATCATCACTGTGTCGTATACAAAGAGCTCTCGTTAACCTCGCAACGTCGTCTGAATTATTTTTTTTTTATTAAATATTCCGCGTGCCCAGAAAGACGACGATGACGAACGGCAAAGCGAATGGCAACCACGGCGGCGGCGGCGGCGGTGGCGGAGGAGGCGTCAAAAACAGCTTCGCCTCGTGCTACATGGAGCTGTGCAGGCAGCAGCGGGTCAGGCCTCTGCCGATGATCTGCGTGACGCTGCCTCACGCGCTCGACTTCAGCACGGACCGCGTGAAAATGGACGACTGGACGCCCATACTAAATTCACTGTCGCTCGACTGCACTCTCAGGTGATGGATTTGCCGCGGTGCGTCTCACGACGAAGGACAACAACGTCATAAGTTTTTTTCATCGTTAAAATTGCAGAACGATAAGCGTGCACAGCAAGTATCAGCATCGCAAGATCCTGGACTCGGCCTCGACCGAGTCCAAGGCCCGCGCGGTGGGCAAGGCGCCCTTGATCGTGACGCGCTACGTCGTCGAGTGGCTCATGCACAGCACGGCCCAGTGCGTGCGCAACTCCCAGGTCCTCACCAGTCTCGAGCTCGAGGGCATCAGCATACCCGCGGACTGTCTCGCGGTGCTGTGCGTCGGCCTCGCGAGCACCAAGTCCCTGAGGACGCTGTCGCTCGAGCGCTGCCACATCGGCGACGCGGGCTGCGAGCTGCTCTGTCGCTGCCTCGCCGACGTGCACAGTCTGCGCACCCTCAACCTGGCGCACTGCGAGCTGACCTCGGCCTCGGGGCCCCATCTGGCCTCGGCGCTGTGCAAGCAGAAGCTGGCCCTGTATCACGACGCCTGGATGCAGTCGCTCAGGTATCGCGAGCCCAAGCTCGACAGCATGCCCGGACTGAGGCGGCTGACTCTCAACGGCAACACGAAGCTCGGCAACGAGGCGGTGACCGGTAAGGGGCCCCCAGCTGTTGCGTTATTATTATTTTTGTTTCACGTCGAATGATCGAGAACCGTCGTCGTGAATCTCACAGCCATGATCGAGGCCATCCGCGACAGTCTGTGGTTCAAAGCGCTGGATCTGCAGCAGTGCGGCCTGAGCGAGTCGCTGAGCCACGACATCTTCGACCTGCTCGAGCACAATCGCTGCCTCGTCGTCGTCGACTGCCGACTGAATCCCGGCTGGCACGAGGAGACGCTGAACGAGATCGCCCGACGAGTCGGACGCAACGAGGCCCAGGCCGGCGCCAAGGGGGCCAACGAGTTCAGATGGCTGCCGCTGCCCCAGCAGAAGAACGCCGGGCCGCAGATCAATCCGAGCAAGCGGGTCCTGTCGGCGGGCAATCTGCGAATGACGAGGGACGCGGGAGGGCCCGCTGCTGCCGCGGGCTCGGCGAGCAAGCCCAATCTGACGAGGCCGCGCAGCGCCATGCTGAGGCAGGCCAAGCGGCCGCCACCGCCGATCGTCTACAGAAAGCCGCTGCTGGCGCCGGTGCCACAGATGCTGAGCAGACTGAGGACGAGGCCGGCAGTGCCGATGCTGGAGAGGAGGCCGAGGCAGCCCGTCAGGCCGCTGGATCGACAGCTCGTGCCGGTTAAGGTGAGTGTACCGTTGGATCGTTGGATCGAGTACTTTATTTTGTTCTGTATAGTCCGCAGAGCCGACGAAAATGTCTCTACACTTGGATCTCCAGTCGCAAATACAAACGGTATCGTCGCAATCCGCGCGGGACAACGATCCAAACAACAACAACATGCAACTGGTGCCACTGAAATCGTGCTCGATCGCCGTTCAAACGTGCTCGTCGTCGGAGGAGGACGAGTCGACGACGTCGTCATCGTCGCCGCGAATCGCTTCATCGACCAAATCGCCGAGCCAAGACTCGCAGAGGATACAGGAGGTGATACGCCGACTGCTCGAGACCGAGGAGCAGCGCGACCAGCTGCAGGAGGACTCGCGCCGCGATCGCCTGGCCCTGGCGGAGGAGCGCGCCCGCCGCGAGTTCGCCGAGAGCAAGCTGCGCGCCGCCAAGTGCAACGTGGCCGAGCTCGAGGAGGAGCTGCGCCAGCGCGAGCTGCAGTCGCGCGGCTACCTGCTCATCAGTCAGAAGTCCATGGAGGAGATCTGCGCGTCGTTCACCAAACTGCTCGATATGCTGGGCGATGCTACCGCGACGGCGGCCTCGGCCAAGTCGAGCGAGAACAGTATCGCGCGTCTGGATCAGATCGCGTTGCCGGGCGTCGAGGCCGAGGACGAGGACGTCGCCAGTCTGCAGGACGTGCGCGAGGACATCAAGCGACACTTCGCCTTCATCATACGCAAGACCAAGTCGGAGAATCTCAAGCGCGGCTGCTTCATACGCGACGACAACTTCGACGACTTCGACGACGACCTGGACGACGACAACAACAACGTGGACCTGACCGCGAGATACGGCCGTTCCGAGGGCAACATCAATATCGGCGCCGCCATCGAGCCGCTGAACGCGCCGCTGCTCCGAATCGAGCGGCCGACCGGTGACAACGCCGACGTGGTGTCCAGCTCGCTGCCGCGACTGGCGCACAACTTTCACATGCAGAACTGCGACCAGACCGCCGCCGATGCCGCTGCCGGTGACGTCGGTGCCGTCGGCGACGGCCTGAATTACAATACCGGTGAACGCAAAGTACCGAGCGACCGAGCAAGGACTCTGTTCGCCAGTATAATCAACGGTGACGCGCTGTTACGTTTCAACGAATCCGTCCGGTAGAGTTCGTTTATCTGCCCCACCCGCTTGTCTATATCGATCGCCGCCGCCGCCGCCACTGTCCTAAAGTCGTCTGTGTGTCCAGTCTTTCTTATTAAGTCCCCTCTATATAGTGTTTCGTCGATTTTATTTTATATAATCTTTGTCCTGCTCTCTCGTTTAATTACCTCTGCGGTTACGATGATGTCTTATACTCGACTCGTGCTACATCGATTGAATAAAACTATAACGACTACTGCTCGAACGACATTGTAGCAATTTGTGTTTTCGATATATGCATTAATTTACGAGTTTTTTCTTTTTTTTACATAAGAGATAATGTGAAAAAAAGCTCAACCTTTTCGAGCGAATTCATCGAGCAAGAGGGGGAGCAGAGAGAATGAATAGAGAAAAAAAGCCACTTTGACACTTGGTAAGACGGCCACTCAAGAGCAGTAGCCATCCGAAACGGTACATAGATTTTTCATTACTTCCAGCTCGATTCATCAGCAGCAGTATAGAGAGGCAGTAGATAGCAGAGCGTTATAAAGTCGAGAGCATGACAATACCCACACACATATCGTCAGCACACACACACATAGTACTAACACAAAGGTAATTTTTCATCATAGAGATCACGCTCAATGTGGCAGCTAAGCTCTCAGCCGACGACCGCGTAAGATCAAACGTGTACGACGCCGCTGTACATACGCCGAGTAATACAGCAAAAGAGAATATTATAAATAGCCGATGATCGATTTCTGGCTCGTACGAGACTCGCGCGCGAGAGAAGAGGGCTCAAGAATTGTCGATAGAACCTTGCGCTTTTGCCTTTGTGGAACACGCACACGTATACACACACATTTATGATCGTGTCACCTGCAGCTGCTGCTGGGGCTATTTTAAGGGTTAACATAGAAGCCGTAATTTTTTTTCCCATTTTAAACCGAGGAGCGAGGAGAGAGCTTTTCTCTCTTCGTTGACTCGCTGACGCTTTGGTTTTTTAATTTTTGGGTTGAAGCGTTCTACTTTTGCGGCAGAGAGCGCAGCCGAGCGCGAGACGAACGAGCTTACCGTACGTCGCACGAACGAGCTTGCACCACAAAAGCTCGGGAGTCCGCCGGTGCTGCTCCAGATCATTTTTGTTTCAATTCTTGTACGTCTTTTCGTTCGTTCTGCAGTTCTAATTTTATATAAACCCCGTGTATACGGAAAATAAAGTTCGATTCCAGGTCACGCGAGATTTTGCGATGGAAGTATAATATTCAAGGCACGAGGAAGCTACGGGACATTATTAAATTCAGTATAAATATAAAATTACTTACCCGAAGACGCCGACAGCTACGGCGGCCTCGCGCAGTGCCCTCTCTTGATCCATCTCGGCGAGAGCCTCCGGCCGGATCGTCGCTGTGTTGCGCGGCTGGCGCTCGTTTTGCACAGCTTTGAACAGAACAAAGCATCGACACAGCTTTTGTTAATTTCAATTTCAATTATACATTATTTCGAGTATCGAAAAAAAAAAATTAAACGATCATCATTGATACCGCATCGAGATGTGTGACGCGCTGGTGGATAATGAAAAAGCGTGAGGCGTGAGACGAGACAACGAAAGGGCGAAAATTCAATACAATATAAGAGAGAGAGAAAGCGAGTCAATCCAATTTACGACATAAAACTCGTGCTATAACCCTCGCGCACGGCGCAAATTTGCCTCCGGGCGCTTCGTAACTTCGACGAACTGATTCGCATCGGGACAGCGAGAAAGAGAGAGAAATCTGGGCGCTTCTGTGCTTCTAAATATAATGTCGGTGCACGGACACGGGCGAGGGGTTGTTGCAGTTGCCTGTATATAGATGTGTACGTGCATCGACGTTGTGTACAGCTCTCCACAGTCGTCCACGACGCCCACGATTTTATATGGCCTCCGGACATTTTCACGCGGGTGCGCGTCACTAAGTAATACACAGCGCGGGAACGATGATGCTTGTTGCGTAAAAGCGCACCGCTTGCAGTGATGAATTTTACGTAACTTACGCAGACTTTACATATACATCGGTTGGGTATATATATGTGATCGAGGGTGAAAATTTTAAACGAAAAAAAAGTTTGACGAATAAATTCCGATTCGGAGCGCGAAGGGGTTGAAAATGTACTATCGTTCTATCGTACAATCGTTCGAGTTCTGCTCGGAACACTCTGCAACTGGTTTACATTTCCGGTTTGGTGAATCTCAATCCATCGGCCGTAATGCGTAATCAATCAAAAACACAATGTTTGCGCGCCGAGTACATCATTTATGACTCGAACCTCGGTAAACGGTCATGCCCACCTCTCTCTTTATCTATCTCTATCTCTTCCCCCGATGATGCTAAACGTGCGCCTAGGCTGCTGTATATACATACGCCTGCAAGTGTTTCGACCGCACGTAATACACGTTACGTCACGCAGAGAGGCGACGTCGACGTCGTCGGCTACGGCGGCGAAGAGTCTGCGTCTGACAGCAGCGGCGCGTGTATTATACAGAGGAAGAAATCAGATGCACCGCCGTGTGCCAGGCGCCCCGAGAGATAGAGTTAGGTAACGCGCAACTGTCGGACGAGTATACACGCACATAGATAGATGTACATAGTCTTTTTGCCTCGACGAAAAATGACAGGACGACGACTCCGGCCTTGTGTATATCTGCGGCTCGGGCCGTGTAGCAGACGTGGCGGGGCACGTGCAAGCCAGTTGAACGCCGCCACCGCCGCCTCTCTCTGTGCTTTTTATAATATACATTTATGCGGCATAGTTGGAAAATAATATAATGTATATAACGTAAGCAAATAAAGAGAGAAATACAGAGCTGAATATTGCGCTGTACATCGAATATAGCCCTTGCACGGTATGGTCATATATTCAGTATACAATATCGGTGTTATCGTCGCATTCTGGGATGAAACGACGACGACGAGGACGACGCGAGTGTTCGGTTGCGTTGACAAGTTGAAAGGAGGAGGGTGACTAGATACTTTCGTCGGGACTGAAGTTTATTCCTCAAAAAATACCAACGTCGCTAAAATTTCAACGTTGTCTGAAAAATGACTTGTTACGACCGATGCCACTTGATTTATAAGAAATTATTCCCTTTCAATTAGCACGGTTAAAGTTGAAAAATTATTCCATCATTGCCTTGAGAGAATTCATGAGCATCGAATTGAATTTATTAACAGATAACCATTTAGATTCATACAATGACTTATACAGTTAAATTGACTTTTACACTTGCAGATTTACAGATTTGAAGGTACTCGCCATCTAGTGGTAGAGGCATGGAAGTTATAATATCATATGTAAAATATTTAAAAACTAGATTAAATTTTTTTTAATAAATCGATAGCTATTTTGTGGTCATTAAAAATACGCTTAACATTTGTAATATAATTGTAACAAGCCAACAACAAGTTAATTGATATTTATGTACTTCAAAATAGTGTAATAGTATTTTTTTGGTCATTAGGCCACTACTATTCATGTTGAGAATCGGGGATGAACATCGATCATGCAACGTTTGCTGTTGCTTTTGAAGATGTAAATTCGTAAAACAATACCAACGAGATAAACGTCCGCATAACACAGCTCGTATAACTCGAGCGAGTTATTTCGAGCAATTAACGCGCGTACCGTAAAAATGTTACAGAGCACGGATAGAGAGAGAGAGCCTCTTTGGGCGCACACCTTCCCGCATCGTTTCGCCACAATATTATGCCGCTATCTTTTCCCCGCGTGTAGCTTTTCTCAGCCCTTTCTCGTCGCGACGTGTGCTCGCGTGTGTCCGTCTCGTTTGGCGTGTGCTTTTTTCCCCGCCTCGCCTTTTTCGCGGCGCACGTCGCCCTCTAAATGCAAAAACGCGTCGCTGCTCCGTCTTTCTCTCTCTAATTTGCATGTCGCAACGGGTGGTACGCGCGTGTTACTCATTGTCTTGCTGGGCGCGACGCACGCGCCGCGCTAAAGAGCCCGCGCGCGCACACAGCAGTACCAACCATGCTGATGCCGCATGGACAATGCGGTTGGGTTGTGTTTTACGTGCGGAGAGCAAATTCAGCGAAGGAGATTGTGCATAGCGAAAATCGAGAGACACAGAGAGAGAGAAACGAGTGTCAAGGCGCGTTAATTAAGATGCACGTATACGTAAAAAATATTCAGGTTAATTCAATTGAAAAATTCACGTTGCTATTCAGAAATAAATTTAGTAAAAATATTATTTTTTTTTCGTTATCTCCTCGCTACGCCAATATCGTAAGTTCAACGTCAGGAAAAGTGACCGCCGCAACTATTGTTCAGCTTACATAAATACGTGCTCTCTCGCGTGTAACAATGTGTGTATGCATACGTTTATTTCCTCCAATTAACCCTTCGAGTTCTGTGTGTCTATCAGCGTGTTTGCGTTCGTCTCGTGGGCGGCGGCGGCGGCGGCGGTGGTGGATGCCGCAGCCACGTGTCGCGCGACTACTACCACTCGCCGCGTCTGTTTGCGCTAACGACCTCAACCCAGCGGCAGCATCGGCGGCGAACTCGTCGTTGTTGCATTTACCGAATGCCGAATGCGGCTTTGAACGCAATATGGAAATGTATGTAGTGTACATAGTCGCCACCGCAGGAAGCACAGAGGCCTAATTGCGTTTCGTTAAATCGTACACACGTTGGTTGTGAATGTGTTTCCTCGCGTTCGTGATGACCGGAGCTCGTTTCTGTGTTTGCCACTTCTGCATCATTCGCTTGATTAATCCGACGCGCGTATAATAATAACGCGCGGCCGTGCTCCACGCGTCTTGTGCCATCCACGCGTGCTCCGACTCGCTGCCGCGCGCATAAATATATCCTGCGTTATAATTTCTGCGAGCGCGTTTCATTTCGCGATGGTCCGGGGGGACGCTGTTGGCTGATAAAGGACATCATAATCTTACCGAACTTTTTAATAGACATTTTTTTTATTGTCGTCATTTGCAATTTCGCGAAGCTATTTGAGACAGCTAAGATTATTTTTTGTCTTACATTGTATAAATAATATTGCCAGACAAACTGTCCCGTTTGGATTTCGCTTCAATAAACTATTAATCTAATCTAATCTAAAAGTCTCATTACTCGATTACAGTGGATCATACGAGTGGATAAAGTTAGATTTTTTTTTCAACGTGTTTTTGGGCGCATCAATAAAACTTGAATGTATTCATGTAAGTAACGGTACTTATTTGTATAGTAGTCTTCGAGCGCCGAACGAAATATGTAAATATTAGTGTTTAAGTGAAAGGCACGAATGAGATCGAGGCAGTATCAAAATAGACGGCGAACTCGAGAGATATATTGTCAAACGGTAAGTTTCATCCTCTCAATGTTGGTTATAATTTAGAAAAAATTATATGATATAAAATTTACACAATTTTATTGTTATTTCAGAGAAACAAGTTCTTGTGTTTCATATTTCTACCAATCTCTCGCCGGAAATTTAACATTAATATACATTTACGATGACTACGAGGAAGATGGTCCATTTCAAGCCCATCCCCCTCGATCACATAATTGACTTTTTTAGTGGTTATTTTATGATGGTGATGGGTATCATGGTTTATAGTGAGTGTAACAAGCAGCGCAGACGTATTCAAGCGTCAAATCGTTTAATTTTTATAATCAATGAATTAAAATTATTCTTATCGTTCTTACAGTGTCTTACCCGGATATTATCGAAGACACGTTTTTGAATATACTCAAGACCGACTTCACAAGTTGGTTTGACCTCGGTAATTTTGCCGAGAAAGTTTTTGAACCATGGATGGGCTTTGTACAGAGGCCGGAATGCGAAGGAGGTCTCAACGGTTATTCTTATGAGTTTATAGACGGGAAGTGGATGCTAACGGCAAAAGAATGAAAAAAAAAAAAAATTATAAAATTTTAAAAACTAAAAGCAATTGTACAGTGACAGTTATATGAAAAGTGTATCTTCTTTACTTCGACGATCAGCAATAGTCTTGATTAAATTTAAATCATCAGCACATAAATAAAATATGAAATTGAAAAGGTAAAAAAAGTTCAAAACAAATTATTTAAATACCCGAGTTTTGATTTGTACATAAAGTTATCATTATAATTTCGAGATGCCTTGGGGAATGGTGATGGATAAAGGTCGATCGCGTGCGGTCTCGCATAATACACACAATTATACATACCAGCAAGGAGAAGTTGGAATATAATACAAAAGCATTCGAGGCACACTTCTCGGCATACACAAGCGTCGGAATGATTCAGACGAATAAGAGTATAAGAATATAAAAGTACCCTAACAAAAGTAAAGCCCATCACGCCCAGGGTCGAGAAGAAAGTGTATTCTAAATTCCATTTGCTTAAATAACTTCCTCTCTCTCTCTCGTTCTCGTTCTCTTTTAGCAGTCGCGAGGCGATAGAAAGCACAATATCCCCGACACGAGTGGCGGGAGGATCCGTCGCGAAATCACGCGCCAATATGCCGCTTCTGCTGCCACTATCTCGCGCAGCGGCGGTGGCGTCAAAGCTCCGACGGCAGAAAAAAGCTCAATCTTGGAGAGAGAGAAATAGAAAGAAAGAGAAAACGAAATCCGATCCAATTCCTTTTTACGACATCAAGTTCGGCAATAAGAAAGTTTCTTTCTCTTCTCTCGGGCGGCGGAGCTGCTGGGGGAGATCGTCGCTCGCTGTGTTCGCCTTTTTTTGTAGTAGTAGCAGCAAAAGCAGCGCGCGGCAGCCTCTTTTCTTCGTGATGTGCTGCCGCGTCTTACATATAAAGAGTGAGGGAGGCGCTGGCGCGCGGGAGAGGCTTAAATGTACGCGCGCGCGTGTGTGTGTGTGGGTGCGAGGGTGGATGGGTGGGTGGATATACGAGTCGAGTTGCTGCGCGCTATCGCTACGGGAGGCAAGTCTCTCGGGCAGAAATGTAATGGCAGGTGTGCGATGGCATTAAGACGGAGTATAGCGCGTTGAATCGAGGCAGCAGAAGCGCACTGCACGCGCGTATATAGCACGACTCTGTATACCTCGCTCTCTTCGTGCAGACTTTTTTTCTCTCCATCTTTCTATTTTTCTCCTTTTTTTTTATTGTTATTGTATTGCGACGGGAATCTCTCGCTGCGGGAGGATACGAGAACTTATTTTTCGCGCTGAAATTCGATTAATTTCTGCCGTCGTGCGCGTTAATTTTTTCGTGTATCTTTTCGCGACGACGTTGTAATCGGATTTCACGATTTTAATTTTAGCCATCGTCTGATTTCCTTGGAATGCCCATTATTTCATGGCTAGTTTTTGATCAAGAAAAAAGTATTAAGTATGAAAATATTAATTTTCATGGTTTGACTTATACAATTATATTGACTTTGCCACTTGCAAATTTATAAATTGGAAGGTACTCGCCATCTAGCGGCGAAGACTTAAAGTAATAATGAGCGATTAAAAACTGGTCAACATTTTTTTTGAATAATTCAATTGTCATTTTTAGGCCTTTTAAAATCATGGTCAATATTTACAACATAATTATAACGTAAAAATCGCCAAAAACAAGCCAAATGAATGACAGTCTATCTTAAAAAAAAATTAAATGTCAATTTTTCAGGGGGGAAATGATACGGGTACAAAACGTGTATTCGAGTACACCATATACGCACGTTCGTAATCCGTAGGCCGAACGCGCGATGCAATCAGCGGGCGGAGGTGTGCACTCGATAACAATTATATCACCGCTGTCGGTCGCGCGTCGGATTGCGTTTACATGCCATGCGTATACAAGCGCTATAGCAGCCACGCATTGCGCGTTATCGAATTAGCTCGGACGCGCGTCAGAATACGTGAAAGCTTTCGCGGCGCGCGACACACGAATTTCGCAGGTACACATGCATGCGTGCGTGGACGAGTGTAACGCACCGCTATTGTGCGTCACGGGTTTGTAAAGCAATTTGTTTATGTATGTACGGATGATGTGTATGCGCGGTACGTGCGCTATGAGCTGTACTCACCATCTTTGTTCATGCCCATCTCTATGCATTTTCTCAGTCGGCAGGCCTGGCACTGATTGCGATGCGCCTTGTCGACGACGCAGAGTCCGTTGCCCGCTTGGCATCTGTGTGACAATGCAAAAATTCGGACGTTGTCAGTAAAGTTTATATATGAACAAAAGCAGACTCGCTGGCGCAGCTTTTGCGTATATTTTTTCGACATTTTTACGTAGTAGTAATACTACGGCATGAATAACAAATATCATAATTACGGGTGCTATTTTAATTTACTGGGATGAGCGTCACGCAGGTATTTCTACTCAAAAAATTGCATTGTATTATTAAAAATGTTTCAACTAAATTGTAGTGTATTGTACATTTCGATTAATTTTTCCCATTACGTCGAAGAAAACGTACAAACTCATTAGACATCACCGAAAAGAAAGAGATCTCAAAGAACGAAGAGTAAATTTTCCATCGACCGGCAGAAAAAAGAAAGCCATATACACTTTCCCTCCTTCAAAAGGCGGCTTGCGCGCAGAGTATACGATAATCCAATGGAAGTCCGAGAGTTTGCCCTTTTGTGTCACAAAGGCAACGAAGAAAAGTGAGGAAAGCGCAGCCGAGCGCTTCTGTGCTTCTTCTCCTCCTTGCTTTTTCTTCTTCTTCTTCTTCTGTTGCTGCTGCTGCTCCGGGATTACGTATTAGTTAGGAGCAACGAGAAACGGACGAGGGTAATACACTTCTCAGCTTGATTGTGTATGCGCGTAGAGCTGCTTGTGTATTTATTATTGTACACACATATAACGTCGAGTCGTCGTCACTCCAGCAGTGCTCATCGTCGTGTCTCTTTCTGTCTGTCTCTGCTTCGGCGTTGAGGACATATCTAACGGGGTTAGTCTCGCAACAATGAAAGTAATCGAATTTCACGGCCTCCGGCTGGGCGCATATACACCACCGCTACTACTACTCGTTGCTGATGCTGCTCTTGGCCACGCGAATCGACAAGTGCAGTCGTCGAAATTTCCTTTCAATATCATCGTCACCCCGATACACACACACTGAAACACACACACACACACACATACAGAGACATAACTTTGTATCGGCGTTGGTCGACGGTTGGGTGTTGTACGTGCATTAACGTCATGCGCCTGACTCGAGTACAGAGTCTATCGTGCGTATATATACGAGAATTAATTGACGGAATACACTTTATCTAACTCGTGTGAGAGGCATACTAGTCCACATTGCCATGTGACGCGCGCCTTTCGTCGGCCCCGTGATGGGTAAGCGTCTGTGCGTTAAGCTTTTGCTTGTGTACGCGCGTCGACGACAAGTCGAGACACAAAGTGTCGAAGTGCATACACGCGCGAAGATCTCGACGAGGCTCGGTGGTTCCTTCGTTGCTTTCAACGCAACATTGAATTATATCCCGAAGAAAACGCGCGAATATTTTCTACGTTCCTTTTTTTTTCTATCTTTGCTTTCCCCCGCTATGTGTATGGTAAAGAGTCGTAATGCGCAAATTATATTTCACGCGTCGCTGCGATTGCGTAACATGCGTGCGTACATATAATACGTTTCGAGCTAAGGGTAGGCACACACGCTTGCCTGCAAAAATTCGCGTTAACGCCAAACGACGAGGAAAAAAGCCACGACTACGTGCGCGTATAAGTAAACCAAAGTTTGAACTTTACATTTTTTTTTTCATTGAAGTAATGAGTTTACAGTGCATCGCGACGATTGCTCCGATAAGTTAATCGCGCGAGTGCAGTAATTGAAACGAAAACTTTGACGATGGGATCTAAATGGCAATGGGTAAAACGTCAAGTACTCGAATCCGATTTTGTTTATCGATCGCACGAACGAAAGATATTATGTAACGATATACGTATACATCGGGTACATAAAATCAGTGGCGATCGAGCGATTACGCGCGTATAACCACACGTGCCTCCGTTCAAATATTAAAATACTCGCTTCATTCACTTTCCTACATACATACGATGACTCTAATGTAAGCCCCGATACACAAATATACCCTGGCGTATGTATATTATGCATAGTATGTACACAACGACTCGAAACTGCTACAGAGATATCCCCTTCGCGCGAGCATTTATACGCACACGCATACGCACACATGCACGAAGCGACAGAGAGCCAAAGCAGCATCGCATGCGGGGGGTGTTGGAAGCCGTCGGGATCCGCTCGCGCTGCAACTTACCAACGCAGACCCCTCGGACAAATTGATTTGCGTTCACGCCCGTGGTTCTCTCTGTTTTTTTTTTACCCCGACCTATCTTTCTTTTCTCTCTCTCTCTCGTTCCCTATTTAGCCCGCGCTGCATATGCGCGTATTACGAAGCTGTGCATATGCGTTATGGCATTATAACGTTTGCTCGTAGTTACCGTATTACATACATTGATAGCTTTATGAGCCGATATTACATATTTGCCGTGTTAGCGTGTGCGAAGCATGGCCCGATACACTTCGTGCCGTAGTTGGATTTTTCGGTCAAAATTTTTGTGAATACTTAGATCGTAACACGTAATATATCTACACGTAAGAAAAGACGTACTGTTATATACGTACCGTTACTTGTGTAGTAGTCTTCGCGCGCTAAACGAAATATGTAAATAATGATATTTAAGTGAAAGGCACGAATGAGATCGAGGCAGTATCAAAATAGACAGCGAACTCGAGAGATATATTGTCAAGCGGTAAGTTTCATCCTTTCAATGTTGGTTATAATTTAGAAAAAATTATATGATTTAAAATTCACACAATTTTATTGTTATTGCAGAGAAACAAGTTCTTGTGTTTCATATCTCTACCAATCTCTCGCCCGAAATTTAACATTAATATACATTTACGATGGAAACAAGGAACAAAATCTACCTCCCAAACGTCCCCAAATGTCCCCAAGATGATCGAAGCCAGACTCAAGAGACTCGGCGAGGATGGCCAATGTTTCGTATAATATGCAAAGTTCTCTATTTCGTTGGGGTGTACTACTCGTATTTATGGCTTTATAGTGAGTATCGCGAGCGCTTCCACCGACCCATTCGAGCCACGAATCATTTTGCTCGTTATTAATAAATAAATGCGATTCTCATTATTGTTGCAGCTAATTACCGGGAAACTTTGAGCGACATATTGGCTAGTTTAGGCAATTGGGAATTCGTAACTGCGTTCGACAAAATCAGGATATGGTTGAGACTTTACCGGGTGCCGCAGTGCCCGGGAGGCTACGTCCACGATGGTTCTTATATGTTTAAAGACCTAGAATGCGTTACTCCTTTCATTTCGTCATAAATTAAGGAAGCAAGCACGTATGGGACAACGATCAGAAGTGAGTTTTCTTTACTTCAACGATCAGCAATAGACTTGAAAAAATTGAAATTATCAACACCCAAATTAATGATAAAATTTAAAGAGTACAAAGAGCCAATTGAAAACGAATTTAGTTCTTGTCGAAGCTTCACTTATCCAGCTCTTGTACTCTTTAGTATGTTACTTGAGTTTGTTACTTTAGTTTGTTACTTGAGTATGTGACTATTGATTTGTACAACTGATTTTTGAGTTTCAAATATAATATTTTTATTCTTTGTGAGAGCTGTATCGTTCTTCGTCTCATAGTTCTTTCACTACGCTCCAATATTGATTTACACTCTATACATTTCATAATGAATATACTTTTACGAAATAAAACGGGCGATTAGTCAAAAGTAATGAGCGGTTACACACAAATATACATACATTTCGAAGATCCTCCGACTCTTATCATTATTTTGGAACGCTCGTGTCGCGCGTTCATTGAGCTGTGGATTTTTAATGGACGCGCTTTGTGCGAAAGGGACGACGACGACCCAACAACGGCTGCTTGCGAACATCACAGAGAAGAGTTAAGCGTCGAAGCGTTAAGGAGGTGTACGGTTGGTTGTCCGCACCGCGCGCACACGGTCGACGCAATTTGAATGCGAAATTTACGTAAGTATAGATAGATTTTATAATTTTTTTTTTTATACTTTGCCGGCTAGGTGCTACCGCACCTCTTGATACATACGCAGCGAAAAAAAAGACAGTTGTTTTTCTCGTCCGAACGACCGGAGACAGAGAGACACGCGACAGAGTTTCAAAGTTCGAATTCTGAAGACCTTTGCTCGAGGCTGTGGCCATAAGGCGATATAATGCAAACGAAATCGACCACAAGTGCATAGAGATAAGCGCATCATTCGGACCTAAGGGGTGGTTGTTCCGTGAGCTTTATAACACACGCACGCATATACACACAAGGAGCTGCCACAAATCAAAACAATACGCGCGTCGAGTGCATCGTATAAGGTACGATCGAGATCGCATCTGTCACGATGTATTAAGAAGCAAAGAGGCGCGCGATCGAGCGCATCTGCGGTACATAGTTCGATAATTGATTATCTGTGCGAAGATTCTCGAGTAGTTTTTTTTTTGTCAGTCTTGTTTAGGCGCACCATCTGACTCGGCGAAGAGAGAATAAGCCATCATCGTCGTGATTGCCCTTCGGTGCGGTCGTCGTTTCACGCTCTCTTTGGTAACCACAATAAACCGACCGGCCAGAGCACAAATTTACATACTTATTATTTATGTACACTTGGAATCTCGATAGGCGGCAGCAAGGTGTACCGGCTGAATAGGCCGACAAGTAGCTGTTTAGAGGTGAAGCACCGCAGGCAATTCATTCGTTATTATTAAATGACGTTTCGTCCGGTGCGCCGTCGGTCGAGAGTAACTCGATTATATCCCGATGCACCTCGTCGCGGATATAAGATCGGGGAAAAAAAAGAATCGAGTAAAGAACCGGGTAGAAAAATCAGAACGAGATGGAGAAAGCGACGCGAAGCAGTTGATTTCGGTTAAAAGGGATTCGATGGAGATAGATGCGCGTCTCTGGAGACCTCCGCACTAGGGGTGTAATAGTTTTTCGTCTCTCTCTCTGTCTCGATCGGGATCCTCTGAATTCTCTCGCTTACGAAAAATTCGATCGCTCGCGTCTACGTATATCACCTATATAGCCCCCGGGTTAAGCCCACTCGAGCCCACGCCACACATGCTGCTGCTCCACACGCGCATATATATATATCTTTCAACTCGACGAGCGAGATCATTTAGCCGCGCGCGTAAAGGGATGACACGGTGGTGGCGCGGGAGCAGCTCTCATATATGCGCTATGGTGGTGTATAACCGGCTTCGACGACGACGACGCAGATGGTTTCTGTATTCGGCCCCGGGATGAGCTAGGATTAACCTAGAGCCTGTCGAGCAACCTGCGTGTTATAACACATACGGTGCGCGAAAGGGGGGATCAAGAGAGAGAGAGAGAGAAAGAGAGAAAAAGTGTATTTACTTGACAACAATATTTTACTTGTAAGTTTTTTTTTCCTTTTTGACTATCAATGACAGTTGAATCCGTGCTGTCTGCTTTTCGATGATCGATCGATCCTTTTTTTTCGGGCTCTATTTAATAAGGATATAGCCGTGACATTGATGCATGGTGGCGGATAAAAGCTCTACAGGAGTGCAAACACTAAACACGCGTAAAAATACGTACATTTAAAACAAATTAATAGTAATAGTGACTCGCCTGTAAATGAGTTTTCTCCTGACGCTGCGCTTGAAGAATCCGCTGCAGCCGTTGCAGGCCAGAATGCCGTAGTGCTTGCCGCTGCTCGTGTCCCCGCAGACGACGCAAATCAGTCCGAGACTCCTCGGTGCTTTACCCGAGTGACTCTGCTGCTGTTGCTGCTGCTGCTGATGTTGCTGTTGCTGTTGTTGCTGCTGCTGTTGCTGCTGTTGCCGTTGATGCTGGGTCTGTTGCTGCTGATGAGCCGGCGAGGGCTGATGGCTGGGCATCGGTGGCGGCGGCGGCTGACTCACCGGCATCGACAGCGCGCCCGGATGGCCGTGATGAGCAGCGTGGTGCTGCGACGCGGCGGCTGCCGCGGCGGCCGCCGCAGCCGCCAGCATGTGCGGATGGCCGTTCTCCAGGGCGGTGAGGTAGGGCGAGCGCGACGAGGCCGAGAGGGCGGGAAAGTCGGCGCCGACGCCGCGGCAGAGCGGCACCGGGCACTCCTGCATGGCGGTGGAGCGCGAGCCGTACGGGTCATGGCTGCCCTGCGTGTTGGAGGTAGTCGAGCCGGCGCCCGTCGCGCCCACGGGACTGTAGCGCTCCGGCAGGCCCGGCGAGATCACGCTGCTCTCCGCCGAATCTGTACATATACGAAGCGAAAGACGAGATGTGTGAAGATCGGACCATAAACTAATTTATCGTTACGTCGTGTTTCGGGGGTGTACATATAAATACAGGCAATGAATGCCGAATGTCGTTAATGAAATGCCTCGAGCTGCGAGGATCGACTAATGAAATAAGTGACGGCTCACGCGGCAGCAGCGGCAGCAACCCCCGCAAATACACCGGCACAGATCCATCCGCACGCGCTACTTCGTTTCGGGGCGCGCACGAGATTTCATTTTCGTCTCGCTCTCTAATGCGACACAATGTGTCAGGATCCGCATTGTGTGTACAGGCAGATGTTGCAAATCGAGCTTCTATGAAGTATTCTTCTCCACTTTATCTTTTCTGTGACACTGTATATCAGGACTAAAGCGAGTATAGTCGATCGTATATCGATTAACGCGCGACACTGGTTAAGAATCATCAACCGTCTGTTAGAAAAACCAATTAATTGATCATTTTTAACACTTATTTGCAACGAGAAAAAATAAAAAAAAATAATAAAAACGCAAACGAGCAAAGGAGCTTATGCTACTGCCGCTGGATATGCAAAGCTCTCCCCGCACGCCGTCGTATATTATAACGAGCTGCAGTTATATCGTCGAACGATGATAATTAATCGAGCAAATCAGATTTATAGAGTTCAAAGTGACTTTGTATATCATATCTCTCTCCCCGCGCGCCTCGCGCTCGTATGACAAATAACTATATGTGCAGCGTGTAGTGGTAGTACACACGACCCCTTTCATGATACACCACCTTCGCGTTATATGCTGCCGCTGGTGCTGCTGGTGTATATAAACGCGACATATATGTATGCATTACGTCCCCTAGAGTCTCGATCGTTTCAATTGCACCGAGCCCGGGCTAAATATACTACGTATGTACGGTGTATTATAAATGGCCACTAATACGATGGCGATTAATCGTCATGACCAGGCAATATGAGAATGTTATGTACCGAGCGAGAGAGGCTGAGTATATTATACACATATATACACGAAGGTATATCGCGTTAAAGCCCGCCTCCGCGTACATGTGTTTAGCCAGACGTTCTCTCGCGCGGCAAATGATCCCGCGTAATGCAGCCAGCCAGCCCAAGGGCGCAGGTGGCACTCGGCCGAAAATCTCGCCTTGTATATATATCTTTACCGTATAGCTCTGGAGCGCGTTTGCGTCATACGCCACGCGGCATTGATATGCTAATGAAATTTGACGCCCTTGCCGCGCAGCCCGAGAGAAAGAGAGCGGTGTTAAGGTAGTTATTTACAACCCCGAGTGTGACGTATACGCTTTAAACTTTGCGCGTTATCGACGCCGAACGACGACGAATCGGGAAAATTTTTTTTTATCGGATAATGCACTTTTAGGCGAGCGAATGCGTACATGCATTTGCATTTTATATACGATATATTAGAACGCGCTTCGATCGATTGAAAAAAAAAAAAATAATATAATAATGATGTTCGCTCGTATGTTCGTTCTACAATTTTACATACGCGATCGTGCCCACGTAAGTGCGTGTACATTTGTATACATAAATCCGAAAGTCAACGAGACGGAATCTCCCGAAATTTGTTTGCTCGGCGTCCCGTTTTTGGCACTTACTCGGAGCGCGTCGCGCCCCCCGGATTCGCAGCCACTTGCCACTTGCACACACGCACACACGACTGACTGATCGATTCGGCAAAAACTGTTTACACAACTTCGCAGCAGCCCTCGATGCTGCGTACACGTAATAATAGTGCGAGCGTATACGGTAAGCAGTTAGTAGTAGGCGCATTCCGAGGGACCAGCAGCGAGTGTAGAGAGAGAGAGAGCGGCGGTTTCATTTACTTAATGGTCTGGAAACATTTAAGGAGTACTCGCCTATGATTAGTTGCCATCGAATAAGCTAATAGCTCTACGGTGGTGTACGTGTGTGCACATGGAGTGACTTGTATCGGACGATATTCGATGAATATTTTATGAGTTTACGAATGTAGCGAGGGAGAGAGAGACGTTGAACTGATTATTAAATGACAGTTTTTTCTCGATCGCCAATAGCTTAGAATACGATTCGGTCAAAGAGGCAAGTGCTAATGAACCGGAGCAAGTTTTGAGGGGTTGGTCACGTCACAAAGTTATCCCTTACTAAATCATAACGCAATTATGGTCAATGTTTAAATACAAATTTATAACTTTAAATAATGCAATATAAAGATCTCTTCTCAGCAACTACAGTAGCGAAGTTACAATTTTGTTCGCAAGCTCGGCCATCCTCACAGACGAAAAAAATGTTCTAGTCTACCTCGTTTTCAATTATTACGAATTTGCATCGAGTCTGTACGTGCACACACATCGCACGCACTTCACACACAAAGACCGACAAACGCACGAAAAAAAAATAGCGACGGGAGCTTACGAGTGCGTACCTCATACACTTGCGTATCTAGTTGGATTAAGCGTTAAAAGGGAACGCTTCGATTTTATTACATCTCTCTATACGCGCACGAGGCTCTCGAGGGCGCGTGCCGAGGCAACTACAGCATAGCACCAGCAGTCGCGCGTAAGACGGCACTTGGCATTACGATCACGTAGTAGTTTGTCGCTCGCGCTCCGCCTCTCTCTCTCTACGGAACTTCGGGCCGAGAATATATCCAGTCGAGGTAATTTTAAAATTGACTGCCGAGTTAACACCTTCTCTCTCTCTCACACTCTGGTACACTGGTATATAGCAGCTGTGATGGGTGCGTGCGTGTGTACGTATACTTAGATTTCGCAGAGATTTCGTGCATTATCGCGCGGCCGACGCTCTCTCTCTCCCGCGTTTATGCAAGCCGACGCGCGTCGTAGTTACGCGGGTGCAGGCAGCTTTTTCGTTTGCGTTTACGATCGAGATCGTTAAATTTTGATATCGGTGTAGCGCATAATTGCAATCAATCAAATTGCTCGTGTGTACGCGTCAAATTGTAATATAATACGTCGATGATTGATGAAAGCTCACCGTGTCTGACGCTCAAAGGACTCGAGGGACTTCGCGGATGATCCGAGCTCGATTCGTTTTGCGGCTGATGATGATGCTGCACGTGATGATCCTCCGACGAGCCCATCGTCGCGACGCCATTCATGCTCTCGCTAACGGTGTTCTGCAAATTTTACAACAAACAGTCACACGCTAGATAAACGCTGCTTTCACTGAATTATCTGTAAAGCACTCGCACGTATTGAAAAAAAAAAAAAACAAAAATTCGTACTCATGCACGCGAGTATGAGAAAATTCAATGACGATTTAATGATAATGCAAACAAACCAACTCTCTTATGGAGTATGTTCTTCACGTAAGTGCTGTAGATGGCCATAATGTTCGCTTCGTCGATCGCACTAATTTTCTTCTTCTCAAACTGTCACTTTTCAAAACTGATGTCTCTTGTATACAACTCGAATATGTCTTGCACAAATCACTCGTTTCGGTAATGATAAAACGGGAAAAACGAAACACGCACCCCGTGTTTGCCTTCCGTCGCTCTCTCTCGCTCACTCGATATTCTAGCTCGGTAACGCGAACGCGAACGCTACGAAGGGCAGACAGCAAGTATCTCGGTAAAATTGCAGGCCAAAGGCAGAAGCATCCCGAATCGCGGATGTGCCATTCACGCTTCTCCGTCGTCGTCGTCGTCGTGGTTGTGTGTGTATGCGTGTGCATATATGATATTCGACGAATCAAAGAACATCGGCCCGGGCTGAAACGACGACGACGACGACGACGACGACGACGATGGCAACGTCGAGTACCGCCGAGTTCGCGTGTGTAAAGCTCGCGACAGAGACGGATAGATGGGTAGGAGCTCGAGCGAGAGAGAGACGGATAGAGAGCGAGAGATCGGGGAAAGGGAGAGAAGCTCGCTCTCGTCGCGCAGTAGGGTGGGACACGGCGGGGTTGGCGGGCTCGCGCACCCGATTGGTCGCTCGGAGCTTTTGGAAGGCGGGATCAGGAGGCACGGGGCCGCAAAAAACGAGCCAGCAGCAGTACCAGCGTATATAGCCGGAGAATTTAACCTATAGCTTATGTACGCGCGCTACGCTACGTTTGACGCTGCGCGCTCTGCTTCTACCCCGGTGTCTATATAGCCGGGGTTGGCTGGCTGTGTATGTGTGTGTATGCAGCTTTTGCAGCAAAAGCACAGCAGGAGAAGTGCAGTATACTGTATATAACGGCCGGGGACGCATGCGCGCGTAGAGCTTTTCGACGAGCAGCAACACCAGCTCGAGTCAAGCACCTTCGTGGCTCGACTATAGTGTACACCGTATATCGTGTGCTGCGAATATAAGATATATAAGGGATGCAACGCTCGTAAAGTAGGCTGCGCGCGGAGGCCTGTATATATAACAGTTTATATACACGCACTTATCTCCGAAGAGAGAGCCGCAGAGAGAGCGAGATAAAGAGGCCAATTAAGATTGCCGTGCGGAGCTTCGAGCTCTGAAGTTCGTTGCCTCTCGACGCGGCGAATGAGAATTTACGGACCACTATGTATGGATAGCGCGCTCGAGTTAAAAAGCTCGATCGAGCTTTCGCCGCAAGCTCGGATTAAAAATGTGCTTTTATCACGGACAATTTTTCCTCGTCAATGGTTGAATTTTTCGGTTTCAATGACGCTATACTCACTGCAATGAGTAAAACCTGTCACAACCCGGGTTTATACCTCCGTGTGAAATATTATACATATGCGCTGTATTGCATATTCGCATGCAATCGCGCGACGAGGGCGAAGGGCCGCGGGGAAGGAGAGAAAAGCGAAAATACTCGTTGGCACGCGCATTAGGTAATTTGCGGTTAAGCACGTTTCAATCCCAGCGAGAGATTAATCGAAAATCTACTCATATATATACGCGCGTCTCGCTGTCTCTCTCTCTTTCTCTTTCTCTCCCTCGAAAATCCGCAACGGTTAAGCTGCTCCCGTTTGGCTGAGCCCGCGCGACGACGATCTCCCGATATGCCACCTCTCTCTCTCTCTAGCTTTCGGTGTCGAGAGATTCGGAGGCGTAAAATTCTGCACGTCGAGCGAGCGCGCGGGCGCGCGTCAAAGAGTTATTTTCTCATTCCCAGGAATGTGTATTTGTAGGTAGGTACGTTGAGCGGAAATAAACGAAGATTGAAGGGGAGAAAGCAGACGAGCTCTGGGGGGAGCTTAAACGTATTTAACCCTCTCTTTAACTTAGGGAGTGAAAAATATATATAGAGAGAGATTACGCTTGAACGTTCCTTACGAAAAGTTCGAAATCAAACTTTTGTTTTTATTTAGCGATTGGAGAATACGATTTTTTTATCAGCTAATAATTGTTTCGTGATTTTTGCCTTGTTGGAGCTTTCACGGAGCTTTTTTCAATTTTGAATTTCGTGCCTTTTGTTATTTACAAAAATGCACCGAATGCACGATGTCCTCTCAAGTCGAAGCGAAATTTCCGCCATATTGCACAGAGACCAAAGCTCGGTTTTCAATGACAACGAAGGCCGATATACCTCTTGCAGTCATGTTGCTGCACTGCACAGCGAGATCGAACGTGTAGAGTGTGCAGCAGCAGCATACTCGTACACACATACACACTCGAGCGAGTTCCACGCCAAGGGGTTGAAGCTCGCGTAGAGGGTAAGCGCAACAGCAGCAGCAGCAGAGGCAACCGTGGTGTGGTAGGGATAGGGGTTCGTGCAGTACACCTACACAAACACACGAGCGCGCGTATATGATAAAAGTCGAGCCGAGCGGGGGGATGTTGGGCTAGGCCACGCCCCCGGCCTCCGAGAGTCAACCAATAGAGCCGAGATGTCGCGACCCCGAGCCTTCCACCAATAGGATTACCATCTGACTCGCTCTTTCGCTTGTCACTGCAGGAGAGCGAGAGAGAAATTCTGCTGCTGCTGCTGATGTACTACTATGCAGCTCTGCCGCAGCTCTGGATTTCTCTCTTTCTCTCTCTCTCTCTCTCTCTCTCTCTTCTGCGCTCTGCGGTGCTTTTCAATTTTACCCCAGAGAAACCTAAGATAACACTCGCAATTCGCCCGTCACACAGACAGACAGGCGTTTTCTCTGAGCTGTGGTATATAGCTTTTCTCTCTCTCTCTCTCTCTATCTATCTCTCTTTTTCTACATAGATATATTATGTGCTATCCAGCGAAGCGAGTCTCGAGCCAAAAGCTCTATCGACCAAAGCCCGGATTACTCTTCGTCGTCCGTTGCTGACTCTATTAATCGTCCTCGTTGCTTCGCGTTTCTTTCCCTTTTATCTGTATACGTATATAACAAGTCGGGCCTTTTTCTTCGTTAAAAGAGAAAAGAGATGGAGATCGCGAGAGAGAGAGAGAAGGATGGACGACTGCCTCTGTTTGTCTTGCCAATGTTTGCCGTTCGATGCGTATTTTAAAAGGTCGCGTGTTCGATGCTGCCAATTCGACATTTTGTATAAACAAAAATGTATCCGAGCTACTCGCGATTACATTTAATTCTTATTTTTTTATTGCTTGCACATGCCCTTCGAATGCAAATGTGTAATTGCAACGAATCGCAGCGAATAATCGCACGAATGACCAAGCGCTGAGCATTAGCGAAAGTTATATTGATGAGATGTACTTTATGCGTAACATAACGCGCGTCCGAGCTTTTATAAAATTATGCATGGCATCGACGCGTTTTGTGGGCGCTACTACTGGATGTGTAATTAATTATAGCACTCGTTTTCGAATTATTTGAATCGTCAAAGCGATGCACGCCTAATTTTCAATTGCACGGGCAATACGTTACCGGCAAAAGTAGCGATTGGGCAACAACTATTATTGCTTAGGCAACAGCAGCAACGCAAATAAGAACTTTTGGCTAGAATAGAGGGAGTAGATGAATTACTCACAGGCTCTACGCGGTAAAAATAATTCATAATGCTTGACCTTTGCCTTTTCTCTTTTGGATTCGAGGATTCGTCCATACGCCACCTAGCGATAACTCATGAACTATGAGCGAATTTCAAAATATTAGTATAAGGGTTAACCAGGATTTCTTTTGTCTACTACTCACAAATAGCTGCTTTCTCTATCGGAGAAATGTAAAAAACATTTACTCTGTTCCTTTTTACGAGTATTTCACATTTACTACAACCAAGAATCAGTTTATTTTTCCGGAATACTTTTGATACATTTTTGGTTAGTCAAAAACTGAACGTTTTTGCCATTTTATGCTCTCAAGCAAGTCGCTGGGACAAATCAGATAATTTTCCCAACGTACAAGTTTTGCGTATTCATCAATTAATCGGCTAAGTGTGCGAGAAACGCACAGGGTAACGAGTCGGTACTGCAGTTCACTATTATTTCCATGGAGTTCGATCAATGTGACATTATTTCATACATAAAGATTATTGAAATATGAAAATACTTTCTTAATTGGTTTGTACAAAAGCCGCGCTTGCGATAATTGTATAGAATGAAATAGTTTTGAATTGAACGGGGAGGTCTTGAAACAGCATATCAGACTGAGTTGTTCTGCAGTCGTGGATCGTTTCTGGCGCATCTTGTAAAATATGCGATAATCGCGATCACTGATGCGAGGAATCACTCAAACAAATTCATATTTTATCTTCTTATACTCTAGGATGGACACCATTTCTACCTTGGGCGGAGGAGCTATAGGTTGTGACCTTTTTTTTATCTTTATTAGTAACTACTTGTCGCTTGTTGCTAATGAACTCCGACACTATAATCTGATCTTGATCACTGAGTTTTTTTATTGCACATTTTATTGCACTCTATGATCACTGAATGATTAACTTTTTTCATTGATCTTATTCATGATATATCAGGAAATTTTAATGTAAGTCTTTTTTATTGTCCCGATACAGTCTCTTCTCATTTAATATATTTTTATTTGAAATTTTTGAAAAAATGAAAAATGTCTCACTTGTATAACAGGGTGTAGTGATTATCGTTTGCCAAAGTGTATAAAAGGCTTAAAATTGTTCCTTCGCAAAAAAAAAATCAGATCGATTTAAAATTACTCCTAGTTTACGAAACTACAACTCATTTTGTCAATAAATTAAGGGGCCATTTTTTATCGATACTTCTCATCGATACTCTATATCCTGCCTTTTTGTACCAGCAACCTTATGTTGTTCATTTTCCTGTAAATCATATACATTTTTAAACGATTATTATATTCTTTACCGGTAAGTATCATTCTCACCGATAAATATTTGAAGTCTTCTAAATAGTTCTAAATAAATAAATGTTCGAATTCTCATTATAAATCTCAATATTCTCATATTTTTCATTTTTCATTTTTTTAAGAATTTCTAAAATTCAGGACAACAAATGTTGTACAAAGCATTTTTTAAATAAAAAAACGCGAAATAGATGTTTCACATCAAAAATTCTTAACTTCAAAAAAATAGAATTCAAACTCTGATGTTTCCAAATGAACTGTAGAACGCTTCCATTAAAAGTTATATGCGTAGCAGCGCATAAAGTCCGAACTCGTACAGTGATATTCACCAGTTGAGCTTCACACGTCCGAGACAGTAGTGTCCGTTTAGTGCAGTGCTTCGATTTTCAATTCATTTGTTTCGTTTTTTATTTATTCATTAACTAAAATTTTGTTAGACCAATTTGAATTCGTTTGGACTGAAATATTTAGAATTTTATTGATTGAATTTCCTCGTGATTTTATATGGGAATTATTATAGTCGTGAAAAATGTAATTCTAGACAAATCTATGTCGGATAAATAAAAGAAAATTTCATTTGATCTGAAATAAATTGTATGAATAATTGTAATGCTTTAATATAGTAACAATTTTAAATATTTATAAAAATATTCAACCAATAAATTTCAAATAATTACAGTTTTGAAATATATAAGAGTTAGAGGTTCGTACCTTGACATTTTTGTATCTTCGCTTTTCTTCACTAAAAGAAAAACGTGAAAATGAAAAATTGACTCTCGAGGGAAGTACAAAATATCTGTAATGTTTGGATGACAGAATTCACGGTGCCTATAGAAGTGTAGAGCGTTTACAATGTCGAGGGTTTATTTGGTATTATTGCTATTGGTGAGTTGACATTTTTTAACTAATTAATTGTAAAAAATTTTAATTCACGTCGAATCGAATGAATGTAGATGCTTAGTTGGTATATATCATTCATATTAAAGATTTATATCGTCGCAGTTGCACTTTTGCATCAGGCAGCCAACGAGCGATCATCTTTCATTTTTTTTTTTGCCGGAATCGAAGCCTGCACCGCGCAGCTTTTCTACGAATAAAAAGTGCCAATCCTGATATTTTTTTCTTCTACCTCACCTGTTTTACTTCGAGACTCGAATTGCATCAAATTCATTTATGCAGCTATTCGTTCACCGTAAAAGTCACGAAGTCAACGACGACACTGCATTTGTCTCTCTTTTTTTCACCGAAGTATAAACTATGCATCGCTCGGTACAGCCGGCGAAGCCGTTGAAATTTCCTCTGCGCTTCAATTTTTTTTTCCTTTTCTGTTCTTCTCGTCGGAAATATTGTCGTAGACTTCGAACACGCTGTTCAAGCGTGTCAAACGTGCAACGATGGGTGCGGTATATAATAACACTATCAATCATCTTTAAAGAAAAATCGAAGTCGTCGGGAGGCTCAAAAAAAATGCGTCGAAGAAATAATCGCAAAATTCGAGTAAATTTCACAATCCACGGCATAATTTCGTCTTGCAATCGGTTGACATACATCTCAATCAAGTAGTGTCTCCGCAAGGGGGAAGTACTTGAGTCGTAACGTAAGCACAGTAACCGAGATTAAATGTCACGGATCTCGAAGTTTTGCTGAACGAGCAGCTCTTCCCGAGCCACTGCAGTTCTTTTTTTTTTTTTTAATCTCACTGCGTAACGCGCCATTTTCAACTTGCTCTACGATAAACTGGTGCTACATCTTCTCGAGTACTTGTGTCAAGTACCGATCGACGCGCTTTTTCTTCTTTATTATATGGATATAAACACCGAAACCTATATAATAATAAATTCACAGATCTGTTTACGCGCATGGCATCAGTATGTCAACGTACTCGACGCAGAAATTGAAGATCCGCTGCGGGCACATATATACATTCGGACTATCGCATTCTTGACGCGCGCGTCTGTGAATAATAATAAACACATAACATAGACATACAGAGTATATGTTTCGCTGATGCCGCTGCTGCTGAAGTATCCAAAGTATCTTTTTACGTCGCCGGGAAGTCCCTGCGACGAAATAATTCGCTCATTTTTTTTTATTTTGCTTTTATCGCCGAGAGTATCGTTTAGCGCGACACCCGCGAGAGCGCACAATAATGTAATAAATAAATGCCCGAAGTATATAGCGCGATAATAAGTAATATTCACGTCAAAAGTATAACCAATCATCTAACACACGCGTGTCTCTCGTACACACAATGTATAATATCGTTAAAGATAAATAAATAGACGGCTGTGTGGTGCGCGATGGGCATGACGGACGAGAGAAAACGAGCTCTCGTCATTATTCGGCTCATTCACGCGAACGAGAGAGAGAGAGAGAGAGAGAGAGACCTTTTTGAATCGGTCTCGATTCATCGCCCCCTATATACACGGTCAGTTTAGCCGTGCGCAGGACTTTGTGATTCGTCACACCTGAAGCCACTGGCGCATCGAGCGCATGTTTCGTGCCACATTGTATACATTGCGCACACAACAACAACGATATAATTATATCTGCGGCGTGTGCTGTCGATCTCGATTATCGTAATAATGGCTTCCTATTTTTAACCGATTACGCCGCCGTACTTTCCCTGTAATCTTTTTTACGAACGAGGAAGTCTCTTTTGTGATGTAATAGCGATTGGCCTTTATAATTGCGCTATTTTCTACCGTATGATGTAAGGTAAAAATGCGTACCATGTGTATAAGCATTCCGTCGAATTGATACGATTCATTGCTTAACGCGCAGATCTGGTCGTCGTCGGTGGACGCGACCGAGCAGATAGAGGCGAGATTTTCGAAAAAGCTCGGCCAGCCCGGCTACTATTTGATCACGACGATACCCGAAGGCGCCACGAGAATCAACGTCACCGAGTCTCTGGATACGCAAAATTTTTTGGGTACGTGCGTGATTTGTTGATATAACGTAACGATAAGTAGCCAAGATTGCTTAACTTTGTTATTTGTCTCGTCACAGCTATCAGAAAACAAAATGGAAAGTATTTATTCAACGGACCAGGCCAGGGAATCATGTCCTCGGGCGCTTTCCATCACTTCAATACGACGATCGTTTACCTTCGTCGCGCGGCTTATCGACCCGAAAGTTTTTACGCTTCGGGTCCGTTGAACGAGTCGCTGGACGTCATGGTAAGAACAATCCTAAAGAACGATTTATAGATACGATTCGTTTTTGTTAATAATCGTCCGTTCTGCAAATTCTAAGCTCTTGTACAACAAAGGTATGCCGGATGTTTTCTACCAGTACGAGTTACCGGTCACTTTTGACATTCCGACTACTCGGTCTTATCGCACCAAAGGTACTGTTACACGCAGCCGCTGGAATTAGTATAAATTTATGCACATCGTTGCTGTATTTATCGCTGACATTTGTGTATTTTGACTTTTAGGAACGACCAAGTCGATGACCCTACCGAGGCCGCGGACGACTCAAGCAGTGAGGTAATTAAAATAATTGATTGAAAAATGTTGTCAATATTAAATACTGTCAATGTTGAATTATTTTGCCAGTACTTTTTTGGACAATACGATGCTTAGGGATCAGACTCGAAGCTCCACTCGCGGCCCATTCAGAAAAAAAAGAAGATACGACTGGAAGAGCTTCGGGTACAGTGAATGCAGCAAACCTTGCGGGGGTGGTAAGAAATTCTGTCACTCAATCGTATACGGTCCAACAATCATGTTTCAAAGCAATTATACATTCATCTCTCCGTCTCTCTCTCTCTCTCTCTCTCTCTCTCTCTCTCTCTCTCTCTCTCTCTTTCTCAGGCGTTCGAAAGAAGGTAGTTATTTGCGTGAGGCTAAGGTCGACTAGACACGTGGAGAACACCAGGTGCGATCCCGCTAGGAAGCCCCTCGTCAAAATACTCAAGTGCAACAGCCATCCATGCCGACCTCGGTAATTATCGTTCGTATATCAATTAAAAAAAAAAAGATATCGGTTTACGACGTTTCAAAATTTTGTTCACTTCATCGTCAGCTGGGAACTCGGGCCGTGGAGCGAGTGCTCGGTGAGCTGCGGCAACGGCACCAGAAGCCGCCCGCCGATCTGCCGACAAGTGATATCCGATACGGTCAGCATCACGGTCAACGACTCGCTCTGTCCGGCTTCGGCCAAGGCCGACCTCGTCGCGCCCACGGAGATCTGCCTCATGACCGATTGCAGCAAGTACAGTACCACCACCAGTGCCAGCATCATCAGCGTCGTCGAGCCGTTGGTGCTGCAGTCGAGCAGCAATATCGTGACGACGAGGCGATTCGTTTCGAAGACGACGAAGGCGGAGCTGTCCCGATGGAAGGTCGGCGACTGGTCGCAGTGCTCCAAGAGCTGCGGCAGTGGGAGCGTGCGCACGAGGCCGGTGACGTGCATCGCCACCAGCTCGTCGGGAGCTGGTGACTGCGACCCGGCCGAGAGACCAGCTTCCGAGGAGAAGTGTCTGGTTAAGGCATGCGACAAGGAGACTCCGAACAGCAACGAATTGCCCTCGGCTGGCGTTGCTGGTAGTGCAAGTATTGCCAGTGGCTCTTGGCTTTACAGCGATTGGCCGGAACAGGTGAGCCGAATTCGACTTATAATATACAAGATTTCAAATTTTTTATTTGTTCTTCGTTGGGCAGTGCTCGGCCGAATGCGGCACCGGAATAGTGCATCGCAGACTGTACTGCGAGTCCAGCTCGAAGGAGCTGTGCGACGAGAGCAAGATGCCGGAGTTCAACAAGACCTGCTACGGTAGCAGCAGCCAGTGCGGCGGACAGTGGTTCGTCGGCCCCTGGACCAAGGTTCTTATCAGCACGATCAAGATCTAAATTAATAGAGGCGCGTAACGATCGATGTTTTTTCTGTTTTTTTTTTTTTTTTCAGTGCTCCTCGAGCTGCGACACGGGGATACAAACGAGGGACGTCGTCTGCGTCTCGAGATCTTTGGGTAGATCGAAGATATTCGAGAATGAAAACTGCCCCCCGGATTCGAAGCCGGACACGATCCAGACCTGTCAGGGGCCGCCGTGCAACGCCACTTGGTTCATGTCCGACTGGACTGAGGTGACCTATCGAATATATATTCTCATTCGACGGCAATCGATATCAAAATTTTTCAACGATTTCTGGGTAAAGTGTTCGCAGAGCTGCGGCGGAGGAGTTCAGAGGAGAGAAGTCAAGTGTATCGTGCCGGACGGCACGCCGACGAACGAGACCCAGCAGCTCGAGTGCGACGCGAACAATAGGCCGATCGGCGAGAGAAGCTGCAACGCGATAACTTGCAGCAACAATCCTATCGCTCCGATTAACGAGACGAAAAAAAATTCCACCGATTCCGTCAACGAGAAGCAGCCCATCGTCGGTACGTTTCGCTTTGCATCGTTACTCTTTTAATCGATTAATTTTTGGTATCATCGTTATTTTTCTTCAGCAGAGAAGGTGTGCCGCGACGTACTGCCGGACTGCGCCCAAATCATGCAGATGAAGAGCACGGAGAAGCCCTGCAAGCAGTCGGCCTACCGCGTGGGATGCTGCCTGACCTGTCGCCAGAAGCGGCTCATGCATCAAATCAAAGTGGCGAATCGCAAGAGCAACGGCTCTGCCAAAAACAGCCTGGAGTGAATGGGGTGCGCATCGTTCGGGACGAGCAACACCCCCTGTCGGAGCAAATATCTTACCGATGATACTGATACATAAGTTGTATACGACTAAGTTTTTATAATTATACACTTTCCTATTTGTCAAGATTTTTTATAAAATTTTTTTTTTTTTAATAAAGTTAATTGTATACTGGTATTCGTAAGTTTTGAAATAAAAAATTTAATTGTAACTTAAACGTTTGTTTTTACTTTTATTGATTTAACACGCATCAAAAGCTTTCACTGACAGATGATCACGTCTGTTTAATTTATTTTTATGGTTTAATAACAAATAAATCAACATTTCTATAGTATTATATAAATATTTAAAGGAAGAACATCGTCTAATAGTATCTCAAGAGTTACACATCTGTTGAGCGTGAGATGGTAATGTAGATGCCCAATGATTATACTTCCACTTGCAACAGTTGTTACAATAAATTAACCGAATATCATTTACGCATGAAATAATTTTCAATCATTGCACAAAATTGCAATATTTAAATCGTCGTCCGAGTCTGATGCCAAAATAAAAATAAAAACAGTCGAGTTTGTTTACTCGTGGCGCGCGCATTTTCTACAACTTACTAAAAATCACGACACGTCGTCTGCTACGGCTGCAGCGAATCACCACGTTGGTACACCTGCGTACCCCGGTACACAACAATACGTATTTTGATATTGTCACCGCGTTTTATGATACACCTAATTGTTGAGTGTAAAACACGCGAGTTTCCAAAGAGGTATACAAATAATCGCGTTGAAAACAAAATCGCTGCTGCCAGTTCGTTACACATACATGTTACGATAATACGTACAGTTGCTATAAATTTTAATAATACACCTCGCGCGAGCTCAACTGACAGAAAAAAACATGTCCCTCGATCAAACTGTTTGCGAAGGTTAGTTATTGTTGATTGCATTCTTTTTTATTCCAACGATGCGACAAGTGTTTTTACGGTTTGTTTAGCGCTCGTTTTTTGGAGCAGACTTCTAATCGAGATTTTCTGAATTTTTGCTACATTTTCAGATCTCAAGGCATTCGAAAGACGTCTTACTGAAGTGATCACCGGTTATCAACCGTCTACATTGAGATGGAGAAGTAAGTCTTCAGAATTCAATGAGCTTTAAAGTTAAATTTTATAGTTTGTTACAGAAATTTAACATACAATTTGTTACAGTTTTACTGGGCTTCGTTTCAATTTGCACGGCTGTTGGTGCTTGGTATTGGCTTACAGATCCTAATACATCTGCTGTATCGTTCCCACAGAGTTTATGGAATCACCCGTTCTTTACTTTATCCTGTTTTACTTTGGGTAAGTTAACTGCAAATTTCATAATCACATGAGTCGTTCGATGGTTCAAAATGTCTTATCAACTTTTTCAGTAATATTATTCTTGATTGTGGGGATTCATCAAAGAGTTATTGCCCCGAGTATAATGACTCAAAGGACAAGAGTTGTTCTGGGAGATTTCAATATGAGCTGTGACGATACGGGTAAACTAATTTTGAAACCAACAAGGCCACCCCACCTACATGATTAATAAAATATTATGATCAATAATTGTAAAATACCACTTTATTAAATTAATTGATCAAATATTTTATTACTGATATTGTACAAAGATGTAATTTAGGACTTACAAGGGAATGTAAATTAAATTTGAATTTATTGTAAAAAATGAATATATTATTTGTTCTGAGTTTTATTTTATGTAAATGAGAAATGTGAAAGAGGATTTTAAAGTATATATTACGCTTAACTGTAAAAAGACTGAAAGACTGTATACCAAGGGCTTGTATATTACCAATTAAATCTCAGTATGTAAATAAATCAATCATACAGATATATCAAGAAAGATATTTGATTATGTTATAGTTGTACATGAAATATGGTTCTTATTTCATAAGGATTAACATAAGAAATGAATAAATTGTAACTTCAACACATTTATTGATAATAAACTCAGTTTCAATAATCATTCAATATAATTATTAAAAATATGTTCAGATAATAAATAGTTTAAACAACTGACATGTATACATGCTCATAATTTTATTAGTAGAGAATCTCGAAAAATAATGCATTATGAGAAGTATCATTATCATCCGATCTTCAAGATAAATATATACAAGGTACAATTGAATAATACAAGCTGGAAATTAATTATGTCCAAAATATATATATCACATAGGTGTTCGAAATTACCGTACTAGTTCAATTGAAAATAATAAATAAAATTCCAAAAGTATTATTACCCATCTGTTACGATACAACATACAATTCTTACAATTCATATATATTTTCTCGCATTCATTCATTTCATACTTTTCAAAGACTTTATCATTTATATTCATTATTACAAAATATTTTCCCCATCAAGTTGAATCTATTGAATTACTGCGTTAATTCATGTATCATATTAAATTACAAACAAAAAAATTAAAAAATAAAATAGATGAAATATTAAAAATTTATAACGGAAAGTAAAATATAACATTTATACAATTTGCACTTAAAATTTTTTAGATTTCAATTAATAATTCGATCACTACCATGTGCAATTTTATGTTTACACTCTCAAACATAGGTGCGTAGTTTGCCATTTTGTTTAAGAAATTTAATAATACAATCTTCCTAGATTGTAACTGGAGGCATAAATTAATCTAGGTTTAAATCGTAAACTTATTTAGAGTTTGCCTACATTTAGTTCTTACTTTGATAATAGTAAAACATGGAAAGTAATGTATTTTATAAATATTTTAAAGAAAACAAATTATTTTCCTTCACACCTTTAACAGAAATTGAAAATTGATTTTACGTTGCATGAATTAATGTGATGTACCAACTATGAAGGATGGACATTCTTAATTATTTCTTAATTATGGGTTTTCCAAGTCAAACTTACTTTAAACTCTTATGGATTATGACAAGCACTTGATTATTAATGGTGTAGAGAAAACAAATCTCCAGCAGAAGGCAAAGGAGCCAAACCTCCTGTGACATCTGGTAACTGTGTTAAATCCGGAAGATTAGCAATATGAGATTTGACTTCAGCTCTAACTGATAGCATTTTCTTCAATTTCTTTTTGTGCTCCTAAAAAATTGATAATAGGCAAATTAAAATTAATGTACTAATTTGAATTATAAATGAAATAATTGTTATAATCATTACCTCTAGTGTTGTTTGAGCTTGCTGAAGTAGTTGCTTTTGTCCAGTTGTATAATCTTTTAACATTGTCAAAAGTTTTCTTCTGTCTTCCATTTCAGCTTGCAGCCTTCCATTATAATCAGCTAAAAGAGCTGCAGCTTCATTAACGGCACCGCTCAATTGATCAGCAGATGCTCTGTCTGCAAGATTTGCTAATAGAGATACCTCAGATACTTCTGGAGGTAAAGACGCTATTCTCTCTCTTACTGCAGCATCAGAAGAAGCAGTATTCTCAAGTTCCTGTAACCAGTTGTATTATTTATAGATATTGCAGTAATTTTTTTTTATAATGTTACTATCTAATTTGCAAGCAAAATCAACAATAAGAATTTTATTACAATTGTTAGAGCGAAGAAAGTTATAAGTTTAATACTATGAATTTATTGACTCTATTGTGATTTAAAATTTTTTTGGATTCTATTTTGGATAAATATCAAAAATTGAAGAAATTGAAATTTCTCATTTTTTTATACTTTATTTTGTTTATAATATAAAAAAAAATATTAACCACAAGTGCTTTGATTAATTCTTCTGTTTCTGGTGGATCTCCACCAGGAGTGTGGGGGCTAAGCGTCACATGTAATTCTTTGGTTCCATCCACTTCAATTTCTGTTTCAGACTTTTTCTTCTCTTTCTTCTGCAAAAAAATTAAAAATTGTATTATAATCTATTGATCTCAAATAGTATCAAATTATCAAAAGACAAAATAATAATACCTTTTCGTTATCATGGTCAACACGAGGTTTTTTGTTTGAAATCGGAGTCGCTGCAGCTTCATCGTTGTTGCTACGTTTATTGTTGCTGCCTCCAACGCTGAATGCATTTTTGAATTTGGCAATTTGTGCTTTATCATACACTCCTCTTTCTTCCCATACAGCAATCACTCTGTTAACTTTATCTCTAGTCTTAGGATCAAAGTTTTTCATGTTTTCGAATGCCTTAGGCAGTATGCTTTCAAATTCCTTCCCGAATTCCGGACCTTTCTTTTTACTGTTTTGTATGACATCGTTAGCCAAGTACATAAGAGTCAGTTTTCTGCTGTCTTTTGCTGAAAAAAAAAAATAAAATTGTTACAATTATTGTTAAATATTATATATGTTTTAACGTAATTAATGAAGCAAATGATAAAAAAGTGTACCATCTACACATTAAAAGATCTATTAAAAAATGTTATTTTCTCCAGATTCAGCAGTACATTAATTTATGCTTCAAGTTATTGATAATAATTTTTCAATAAATTGTTTAAAATTTTATTTCTAAATTCTCAATTGTTTATGCTCAAACAAATAAATGAAAATTGGTTTCAAGCACTCTAAGCATATGAATGAAATCTGACAGATAAATATCACAGCAATTACGAGATTTCCACGTGGTTTGCTTTGTTTTGAGATGCTAACTTATATACAATCATGATTATCAGAAAATAGCCATAATTAGTTACGCGATGCATGATACAAAAAATCAAACACGGCTAGACAGAAATGCAATTTTTTTTGCACTGCACACACATGCACACACTCGCATCGGCCTTAACCTCCAAAGTGCAACGTAGCAAGCAGCTTTCGCCGGAGTGCAGGCAGGCGAAACGCGGAAAAGCCTGGCGCCGATGGTAATCGAGCCAGGAACGTGTCACGAACGCGCGAATAATAAATTCGAGAGAACGTCGAGATAAGACACTCACATTTGCAAAGCTCCTTGTACCAGATCTTCACGATCAACGCGTGATGTTTTCTGTGATGTATCAGCCACAGGGACAACGTCTGTATGCTCTGCTGCGAGCAGTTGAGGTCCACCAGCTTCTTCAATAAAGCACTCTCGGTGAATCCTGCCATGATTATTTTGATATCGCCGTCCGCGGGGAGAGAAAGTTTGCTCGGATCCCAGCAGAAAACACTCGCACGCACAGCACTCCGAACTCGCGTTATCCTAATGATACGCTATCCTTGATTGCGTGTATCGATTAATACGAAATTGATACGCGTAGGCAAGACAATAACACAACGTCAACGTTATGTTGACTTCACTGCTGCTGCTGCTGCTGCTGCTGCTGCTGCTGCTGATGCTGTTGCGACTGACTGACTACTGCTGCTGCTGCTGCTGTTCACACGGATACTCACGCACACGCATGTATCAGTATATATATTATGATCGGAGCGTCCACCGACAAGCCGTTGCAAGAAAACGCCACGCACGGCGCTCGCGCCAAGCTCTTTTTTCAAACCCAAGGTGCGTGCAGCTGCTTGTCTGCTGTGTATACCTAATACCTGTATATATGGTGTCGATGTAAAAAAAATATACAGTTAAAAAACTAATTGTATAACAATATAATTATATTTTGTATAATTATATGACACTATTCAATGGGGTTTTCTTTCTTTTTCATGATACAATTGAATAAAAAAATTTTATTGGTGCAATGAACAAATTTCTTAGTATAAGCTTGACTCAGGTAACACATTACAGCCGAATTATACCGAGAACAATGAATTTTTTTTTCAAACCCGATGATACCATCGAAAAGACACGGTAAAACCCCATCGAAATATTTTTTTTTATTCAAAACACCATCCATGCGACTCGTGGCGCGCGTCTCGATGAGTTAATCGAAAAAAATGCCCCTGCACCCGAAACTCGGTGCGTGTGTCGTCATCGCGTATCGCGTTTCGATGTCGGGCCGGATGTGCAATGGTGTATTATGCAAGTGAAAGTCGTATATGAATACACGTGAGTAAGTAAGTATATACGGAACAAGAGAGCGGAGTCCACAGTTATTTGGGGAAATCCGAAAAAAAAACAATCGATCGTGCTCATTAATCCTTTTTCTTTTAACTCGGAACCCAATCGATGAGACGAAAAATTTACTGTATAGTATAGCAGTTGAATCTGAAGAAAATTCCGATATATTTATAAATGCTTTGAATTTATTCGTTGACATTCGAACGGATCCGCTACGAAAAAATGAAAAAAAAAATTAATTTCAGACTTCGAGTATAAAAATTGTTTTTATTTAACAAATGTATTTATCAATATATCCGAACAGCAAGTGTGTTCGCGTTCAATTATATACACTATTGTACATTAAAAATTTCTATATCATGGGATATGATAATATTTACAATACGTGCTTTGTTAATTCATTTAAAATATTTACAGATGGATTTATTGATGGACCATCGACGTTACGGATTACGTTAGTTTTAAAAATATCGTGATATGCATTGAATGTTGAAATTTGAGATTCTCAAATTTTTCTCTCGCTATTTTATCGGTATAGTTTAGATCGCATACGTCGCACACGTATATTCGTAACACATTTGTAGTTTATACAAATTTTAGTGTAAAAAATAATCGATTATTTTTTAAAATGCATTGTCAAGGTCAATGAATAAATTTATGTATAGATATCTATATTATCTTAGTTCCGAACATTAAATTATAAACGCTATGATCCAAGACCGAATCCGAAATCTTCGGTATAGTACCTACGCCTCGGGCTTTATCTTGTCAATGGTTACAATTAAAAATTCAACGCGTGAAGCTAATTTCGGACTTCACACTTTGAGTATATATATGTCATCCTGATCCTCGTCTGCTGACAAATGGTCGGATCTGAAACGCAAAAACTTCGATTGAAAATTCATTCACACTCCATATTTTTCCAAATAATTGAAAAAATTTCACATTCATTGGCAAACTACTCAGAATCAAAGAGGGGTCGGTTGCTCTTGCTATTTTATACAATGACAGCTCGTTCAAAGAGAAAGTTTAGCTCTTAATGCTCTTTCAGACAAATCTCTCGTTTGCTGCGATGCTGAACATCGCGACTCAATATGCAAACTCAAATAATTCGAAATGATTTTCTCTTAAGATTCTAATGACTACTTACCCCGCTATCTCTGATGTATTTTCTAAAAGCGCAGACACTTGATCGGGGTTTTTCTCGGCGACGGCGTTTTGGTTTTTTTTCTGCGTTTTTTTGACGTTGGGGTTTTGATTGTTTTCTGTGGAATTGGAACAGTATCCAGCGGGCGCTTTACGTATAAAGTAAGTGATGGATAGTAGTATGTCCTTAGAGTTGAATAGTGTCGAAAACCAATGCTCTCAAGATATCGACGAAAGTCCAGGTGAGGGTACATTCTGAGATGTCTACGCTAGATTGAAAATAGTAAAATCAATTACTTACAATAGTGCGATTGATTAATAACAATAAAGGTGTCGGGTGAATTACTTACTCTCACTCGATCGTAAGTCGAGAATGGATTTGGTTCAAGAATTAATGTTCCACCAAACTTCAACTGTTTGTACATTTTCCTAAAGCATAATTTCAAACCTTCGTCTCCGCCTCTGAGATGCAACGATCTGGTGACCGCCAAACACAAAATCGTATTATACTCAGTTTCAAATTCAGCATTTAATTCAGCCTCGTTTTGCGGTATATAGTCTTCCTGAAAAAATAAAATGTATCAATATGTTAGTTAGGATATTCATTCTGATCAGAATAATTATAAAGGCATTGATGAAGAAAAAAAAAACAGAAAAATACTTACTCGACAGAAGTAGATCTGTCGAGCCCCCGGACGTACGATATTGCTTATAGCGTGCTCGATATTGTCCGCATCAAGATCAATACCCCGTATAGTACTGATAAAAAATTCTTCGGCTATACGACAAGTGATTCTACCGTCAGCGCATCCGATATCCAAAACATGTTTATCTTGGAATAACCATCCTACGCGACCGAATTCTCGCAGGAGCAGATCAACTCTACCTGGAATATTATGTGGATGTTGAGGACTACCGGGAACAACTCCCTCGCTACTGTCGCTGCTACTTTCTGGGATAATCATTGTTTCTTTTTAACGTCCTTTGTTTCACTTTGCGGGCCGCGAGCTGAACCCAATGATGAGGCTTGCGGCGGAGAACTGACAAATCGGAGCCGCGAGCTTGTATGGCTGTCGCGATCTCGAGACGAGTCGGGCTGCCGGCGCTCGAGCGACGATGTAAACACAAATGGCAAAACACAGAGCGAGCAGCGAAGTTTCGGAACGATCGACCGACCGAACTGGTTCCGATATTTTGTAACCGAAAATTCTAAACGTCGAGATATATAAACAAATTAAATTAAAGATTAAAGTCCAAGCAATCTCAATTTAAAAGCATTAGAAATAATATTCAAAATTGAAAAAATGAATTACGGACGCGATCGTTCAACTATGGACAAGAAGTTACAATTCGCATGTCATTATACGAGTAACTCTTTACGACGCACGAGCGTCAGCGTGCCGGACCATCTCCTGGAATCCTCGGGAGGGTGCGAATACACTAATATATATAGGCTCCTATACACGCGGGATGAGGTGCACGCGGAACGAGAGCTGGCCTCGGACGAGAGGAAAACGTCACCCGAGGGGTAGGGAAAGAGGACGCGCGTCGCAGGGCTCGCTTCTGATTCATAATTAAAGGAAATGCCGTAGTGCGTCGATTGTATCGTTTTGGCGCAGCGCTCTAGAAATTCTGACCGCATCGAGTTCGAGTCCCAAGCTCGCAATTGCTCGTGCGGATTTGTCTCTTTATATAACTCTGTATAACGCACGTGCACATGGACGGGCGAAATTCTTCTCTCTTTCTGCCCCGCGCAGCTCCTCGGCACATCTCGGTAAACACGTATATGAATTCGCGCTCGAGCTCGTGAATATGATTGATGAAATTCTCTGGCTGCAGCAGCAGCGTACGCGGGCTTATTATTATGCCTATACGCGTTGTGCCTATGGTAAGGTACGTATATACGACGGGTGAAACGCTGCCAAGCTGCTGCGCGTCGAGCTTTATCCGCGCGCGTCTTTGTCGTTGTTTCGGGACTCGGCTCGCGTGCGATACATATGTATATCATATTATACGCATACGGCACTGTGTAATGCTTCATTGGCTTGGCAGCCAACCATGTACACCTTGCGTACGTACATCTATGCAGCAACAGCTGCCGTTGTGCAATATCGAATCTTAATTGTGCAGCTCTTAATGCTTTACGTGTAGACGTATACTCGCGCTTACATTATATTTGAATTGTCTCGTCTCGTGTGCGCTTGCTTACCAAGTTCTTTCTCTCTCTCTCTCTCTTGTAAAACCCGTCCTGATATAGTTTGTAGATATAATTTGTATTTTTGAATTTAAAATGTTCTTAGTAATAAGATTGTGAATGGTCGAACACGGTTCGACAAAAATTTTTTCGATCGCTCTGTGCTAGACGCCTTATGAGCTGTCTGCGTTACAGCTGAAACCGTTAAATGTATTGAAAATGTATTGGCAAGCCAAACTGTTCCATTGGAACTTGGCTAAAATAAACGTTATCTATCTTTCTCTCTCTTTCGATCTATAACGCGTACGTATTTTTCGAGATGTTCGAGATTTTTTACCACTTTTTGCTGCGCCGATGAATACACCTCGTGACATATTTCAATTTCACAACAAAGATCCCAAACAGAAATACTCAATAATTTTTAGCTAGTTATTAGTCAACCAAAAAGGCTAGCAAAAAATTACGCGTCAAAAAAATCAAACCTTCTTTAACTTATACATCATTTAAACTTTGCCACTTGCAGATTTACCGATAATGGTCCACTCGCCATCTAGCGGTGAAGGCTCAAAGCAGTATTATCGTATTCAACTTAATATAAAACTAGTTCACATATTTTGAAACAAATAAATTGTCATTGATATGTCATTTCAACTGGTCATTTGTAGTTCATCGCTGTGTTCCTTGTGTTGTTGAGCAGAAATCATATTCAATAAAATTATCGTCAAATGTACCATTTCGTACGCTAGTGAGTCAAAAGGTCAACTCGTGTACTGCTACAGATCTGCCTTTAGTTGTTTTAATTGTAATTCTAATTATTAAAATCAACATAATTAAAAATATAAGCCATATAAACAATGGTATAACAACGATAATGCGTCGTGTACGCGTCGAGTCGCAAACGCGTGCCTCGTATTTCTCCAATTTTAAAGTCCATCCAAGTCAACGTGAGACGTGCTATACCCTCTCTCGCTCTACCCGAATTTTGATGATTTTCAAAGAGTAGGTGCACGAGCGTCGCGCGAGCTGCACTCAAAGTTACAGTGCATAGTTGAGATATAACGCGCCGGTATATAACCATTACTGTAGCAGCAGCAGAAGCACAGATGCGTGGGTGGCGCATATTAGTGAGTCGTGCTCGCGCGCGGCAATAATCTCTCTCTTCGCGTGTCAAAGTTTTGATACGTCACTGTGTACTACGGTAGTATACAGTGCAACTCTTTGTCAGTGTATTTCTCCTCTGTAGCAGCAGCAGCAGCATCAGCCCCTTTCATGCTTTCTCTCGCAGTCCTCTTTGCCTTATTACTCGAACAGTGGCACTTGCATGCAAGACGCGGTCTCCGTTCTATTTCTCTATCTTTCTGTCTATATGCAACGTAGATGTATGTGCGTGTAGCTCGCGAGCGACTTGTACATTTGGATGGATGCATACATATATAGTACATGCGTCGGAGTCAAGGGACGCCGTCGTCGTCGTCGCTCGAGACTCCTCCACTCTAATCACGCGCGCGCTCGTGCAGCGTGTGAAACATGCCGTACGCATATAGGTAGTACTGCACATACTGCACCCTCAATACTCGCGCACACGTTATATATATACCGAGTAGTAGCAGCACTATAAGCAGAGAGTATTAGGTGTTACGCCGTGGCGCTCGCGAGCGCGTTGCAGTATACGCGCGCTACATGCAGTGCACACATGTGCACGCGGCTGTTAACGCCTGCGCTGCACGTAGTACCCATACCCATATTCGCTCGATCCTGCTGCATATATGAGAGAGGGAGTGTGTGTGTGTGTGTGCAGCAACGATGTACACACCTTACTTCACGTGTCGAGAAGAGAGCGAGAGAGAGATTTAACCCACGCCACGAACGCCTACATGCGTACGCGTGGCATTTCACGTTAACTCTCCCGATGCCTAAATTTGTAGCTCGATATGTAAAAGTACTTAAATGCACCTAGAAGAAAAAAGGTAACCCATCGTTTCATTGTATATTTTTCCCTTGAGCAACCACCCTCGAGTTTTAATGGAAATGTATATGACAGGGGGTGAATGCATATGTCGGCGCACGTTATCTTTACTGGTGTATCTATAACATTACCGGTAGTTGAAACTTGTGCGCCGATTAACTGACTTATTGACTAAATCATTGGTGGTCAAAAACCAAAATAAAACACATTAGCAAAAACTTCGTGGTTAATTCGGAAAATATTTATTTTATTAATTTTTAAAAAGAATTAAAAAGAACATTTTTATCATACATAGTTTTGTTGTGCTTTCTTCTCCTGGTGAGGATCTGCTGGTCCCAATTCTGTTCCTTAACACTTTCCGCTGACTTTCTTTTCAAATTTTTTAACCGTCATTATGACTTTGGATTTCATACGCCAAACAAATATTACATAAATCTTCGTTCGTCAGATGCTTGATAATGATTTCACAGATCTCAATCGACAGTCGATAGTGTATTAATTTCCCGAAAGGATCCAGTGCCCAACTCAGAAAAAATCCTTTCGATAGTTTCTCGCAGAGATGCAGCGTAAAAACCTCCTGATACTCGTCGGGCAACTGCAATACATTAATACAAAAGAACCAGGGCCCATAGTATTCCGAATATGGGATTAGTTTCGCCGCCTCTTCGGGCCGTAATTGAAACAGGGCGTACAACGAGAGATTCTCATTTATCTGTACTTCTTTCGCTGTATTTATGAACTTATCCTCGTTATACCAACATTTTTCAAGATTCGCTGACTTCTCGAACAATCCATGCTCAGCGTAAAATTTCATAATCGTCAGGGCGTCGCTCCAATTCAGTTCGTAGCCTCTTTTCGCTATGCGCTGTGCATTGTGGGATATTTGGAAATCTCTGAAACTTTTTACATTGAAGCAACTGATGTAGATATTGTTTTGTAATTATTTAAAAAGATAGAGTTGACGTGAAATGCCACATGTAATATATAGCGTACAGACACGTGTCCTACACTTGGTTGGAACGCACCGAGATACATACGTAAGCGCACCCCGAGGTACACACTACACATACGGGAAAATGCAGTTTCCCGCACGCGCAGAGTGGCGCATATAATATATATATATACTACCACGCACGTACACGACGATGCGTACGCGTTAATCGCGCGCGTGTGTGTGTATTATATACACAAGCTCCGTGCAACAAGCTATATAAGGTACGGTGCATCGCTGCTAGTACGATTTTACGTATACATAACATATATATACGCGCGTATAATGCACGTAGTGCTGCACTCCGCTGTACTATCCCATATATATGTATGGGCGCTCGCGCTCTTCGCGTTTAAATTGACACGGGAACTGCATCGCTAATTGCCAGCCGCTAAATTCCCCTCGAGGCCTTTGCCTTCCCTTCACCTATATTATACTGTACCCACGCCTCCCCCCTGCTTTGCTCTGCCACCCGCGCGCGCTCCGTGTGTACTCCTGTGCGCAGCTGCTGCATATAAGCATACATCTCGTATCACTGCTATCTGGATACAAACACGATGATGCGTTCCGAGCTGGTCGGCCTCGACATTGGAATGAAAGCTCGTTCAGCTTATCGTGTGACACGAAGAACGATGCAAAACTCGATCGTCTCCGAGCTTTCGCGTAGCCCAAAAAAAAGCTCATCGCAAAATATCTCTCGAGGCGAATGAAAATCGCTGCGAGTTAACAACGCGATGCGGGGATATATCGCAAAGCGACCAACTGCTACTTTATCCTTTGACACGCGGCTCGAAACCACCACACACACGCACGCGCACGTGTGCGTACAATATACAAATGTCGGCCTCAAAGCGCGACACACATCCGCACACGAATGTATAATATATATATATATATATATAATAGTACGAACGGACGATGCAAAGTCATTAGCTTTAATTGGAGTAACGCCGCGCGCGAGTCGCGTTCTACTACTCCCGCAGCTTCGTACCCTA